TCAGCATCCCTCTCTTTGAACATGGAGTTGGCAGCCCCCAGGGTCAGGACCCACATTCAGCCTCCTCCTTCCCCAGACAGTGCCCACATCTCCAGAAACCTGTTGGAAAGTTGCTGCCCTTAGAGCCGCCACTTTAGTGGTGGGTGCCCCAGAGCAGGCTCAGAGAGGTTCATGAACGTGCCTGGGGTCACACAGCCTTTGTGTTCCAGAAGCCACAGGTGTCTCCCGTGGGACGTTGGCATCCCATCAGCCGTGGTGATTAATCTCATGTGGGGCTAGTAAGTCTGGATGGGGTGCAGGGTCAAAAATAGCCACGGTGCTTCCTTTCTCCATACCTTCCTTTCCTTGAACTTACACTTCAGTCCTAAAAACTTTAGGTGGGGCAGGATGAGGTGAATGTCTGTGCCAGCAGGGACTGGGGGTTGGGGAGGCCACGCAGAACTGAAGTGGATGGGGCGGGGGTCCAGGGGGGGGTGGAGGCAGCCAAGGGTAGGGTACTGGAGCCCAAATGAGGTGGGAGAGCATCAGCCAGGACTTGCTAATGCAGAAAGGGGACTTCGAGGCCCTGGACCTCCGGGAGTGTTTGGGGGTCCTGCTGGTATACAGACAGGCTTAGGCAGACGTCCGGATGTGAGTGTGTGGCACATACACGCCAGTCTCCTACAGCTCTGTCCGCTGAGGTGCCCAGGAGCTGTGGCATCCCATGGCTGTGAGCACACCAGGGCTCAGATCTTGGCTTCTACTACCATTTTCCACTGGAAGGAACCAGGGCTCCTGCGAGAAATGACTGATGGCAGCAAAAGGACAAGATGAGCCAGGGACATCTTATTGAGCAAGAAAGCAAAAAAAGTGCTCAGGTAATGAGGGGGACACACCAAAGGACACAGAAGCCAGCTGAGGGGGCTCTCACGGTACAGATCTGGGATAATGAAAGCGTCGGAAAAACCAGTGATAGTCATGGACTGTACCCCACTGAATAAAATAGGAAACCATGAGTCTGCACTGATATAGATAAATTGATAAATTGGAAGTTTGATAGGGATCGGGATGTTTAGTTTCAAATTACCAGCCTCCAAACCACTCCTTAATTACAAAGGAGAAAGAGATAACTTTACAGTGGAGAAGCCTATCTCATCAAGCCATCAAAGAGAATGTCATCCATAACTGGACAAAGCAAAGTCTTGCAGCACCTGATGGGAGTCAATGAAAACATGACATCACTTCTATGATATTCCTGCCAAAGAAACATAAATCTCAAAATGAGTGTCGTGGGTAGAATAATGCCCTCCCCAAAGATGGGCACCTCTTAATCCCTGGAACCTGAAACCTTGAGATGGAAAGATTATCCTGGGTTATCCAATGAGCTCAATCTAATCCCATTTCCTTAAAATCGGAAAACTCCCTGGCTGGGTCAGAGACCGCACTGTGAGAGGGAGCTGACCCCTTCCCCCATTGCTGGCTCTGAAAGCGGAGGACGGCCCTCAGCTTACAGCTGGCAAGGAAAGGGGTTTTGGTCCTACCGCCCTAAGGAGGGGAATTCGGCCAGCTACTGAAGGAGCAGGAAATGGATTCTCCCCTCCGGCTTCCAGAAAGGAGGTGGTCTGCCCACACCTAGACTTCAGTTGGGAGATGCATACTGGACTTCTGTCCTACAGAACTGTAAGATAAGGGATTTCTGTCAGGTAAACTGGTAACTTTACAGTGATTTGTTACAACAGCGATGAAAAACTAATACAGTGAGGAGACATTAGACAAACCCAGATTGAGGGACACAGGTTTAGTTATCAAGCACAAAGGAAGAATTCCTTAAAATTCATAAGAACAAAGATAAACAGCTATTTAGAAAAATGGGTAAAAATGAACAGGCATTCGATAAAAGAAATGAATGGATGATAAAATTTGAGTAGGTGATTAACTTTATTTGTAATTAAGGAGGACAAAGTAAAACCACAAAGAGATTTCATTTTATTCACCAGATTGGCCACACTGATGATACCAAATGAGGGTGACAGTTTAGAGTAGGAGACCACAGTGTGGTCTAGGATAAAGGCCAAACTGGGCTAGCCAATGCTTTTGTAAATAAAGTTTTATTGGAACACAGACACTCCTCTGTTTATGTACTGGCTAGGGCTGCTTTCGAGCTACCATAGCAGAACTAAATAGTTGTGACCTGAATCATATGGCTTGCACAGCAGAAAATATTTGCTATCTGACTCTTAAAAAAAAAAAAGATTTATTTATTTATTTGAAAGACAGAGAGCGAGCGAGCGAGTGAGCACACAGAGGCAGAGGGAGATGGAGAAGTAGACTCCCCACTGAGCAGGGAGCCTAATGTGGGGCTCGATCCCAGGACCCTGGGATCATGACCTGAGCCGAAGGCAGACGCTCAACCGACTGAGCCACCCAGGCAGCCCGCTATCTGACACTTTACTGAAAAAATTTTTCCAGCCTCTGATGTATACTAGCAAGGACTCTTGTAAGTCCTTTGAACAGCAATTTGGCAATACCTAGTAACATCAAAGGTATGCATAATCTTGAATCTACAATTCCACTTCTAGGTATCTACTCTAGAGAAACTCTGAGGAAATAGATGAGTACCACAATGTTCACTGCATCACTGTTTATAAGGGCAAATGACTGGGAACGACTCTGGTGTCCTCAGCAGGAGCATAAATACATGTATTCTGGGCTATTTGAACAATAGAATTCCAGAGTGCAGTGAGAATGAATGATTCTGAGGAGAAGTATGATGGTGAATCTTGCCAAGAGTTGATTGAAAAAGGAAGTTGCAAAAGAATACATATGTATAAATCCATTAGTATAAAAATAAAAAATGCAAAAATGCTCTACCCCAATACACTATTGAATTTGTTAGGCTATAACTTTGGTTTCATGCAGCAGAGTCCAAAGTAACAATGGCTTAAATGGGGTGGTTTGTCTCTCCCTCGTGGAGCAGTATGGAGGAGGCAGTCAGGGGCTGGGATGGCGGCTCTGCTCCATGATGTTGTCCAGGGATCCAGGCTCCTTCTAACTCACTGTTCCACTCCCGCCAAGGTCCTCATGGCCCCAGATGGTTTCCTCCCATGACCTTGATGTTGCAAGCAGTAGGATGAAGCACCCTTAGCTGCAAAGGAGGCTGGGAAGTGCATTCTTTATCCTAGGCAGCCATATGTGCTGGCAAAACTCGGAAGACAGAATAAATGAATACTAAGAGACAAATAGTAATGTTCCCCATAATTGTCTGGGGACATATCCATATGCGGTAAACCTCTAAAGAGAAGTAATGGAGTGATAACATCGGGTAGTGATGATCCCAGGACAGCGGTGAAGAGGACAGGAAGGTGGGCGTGTGGAGGGACCAAAGGGTATATCTAAGTTTGTTAATATTCTGTCTTAGGACTGAATGGTGGAGTCATGAGTATTCATTATTCTCTGTTAAAACATACCTTCAAGCTTCATATCCTATCGTAAAAATTAAAAAGTTTACAGAATGGGGGCGCCTGGGTGGCTCAGTTGGTTAAGCGACTGCCCTCGGCTCAGGTCATGATCCCGGGGTCCCGGGATCGAGTCCCGCATCGGGCTCCCTGCTCGGCGGGGAGTCTGCTTCTCCCTCTGACCCTCTTCCCTCTCATGCTCTCTCTGTCATTCTCTCTCTCAAAAAATAAATAAAATTAAAAATAAAGGTTACAGATGTATGTATGATTTATATAAAGATGAATGAATGGCATGTACTATTTTGGCTTTGAATTAAGTACTTTTTTTTTTTTAAGATTTTATTTATTTGACAGAGAGAGACACAGCGAGAGAGGGAACACAGGCAGGGGGAGTGGTAGAGGGAGAGGCAGGCTTCCCGCGGAGCAGGGAGCCCGATGCGGGGCCCGATCCCAGGACCCTGGGATCATGACCTGAGCCGAAGGCAGACGACCAACGACTGAGCCACCCAGGCGCCCCTGAATTAAGTACTCTTTACTTGGTATTCCCTCTTCTCCCCCTGGTGCCTGGGGGTGCAACAGAGCCTTCCATACCTAGTGGCTGCTATGGGTGGAGCTGAGGAATCAGCTTCTGTTCTAAGACATAAGGTCCTCCGTGTGTCCACAAACGTGGTCGCCCCTATAGCCTCTCCCAACAGCCTTAAATTCCTCCTGTGCAGGTCCACCCTGCTTGGGATTACCTGCCTCGCCCTGAGAAGGCCCTTCCTTCCCAGCCCTCCCGTCACTGTGCATCCGTTCAGCAGACACATAATGAGTAGCTGTCAGGTACCAGGAATTCACAGATGTATCAGCGCCTTTCTCTGTTCTCTCCCCTCCCCAAACCCTTCCTCCTCCATTCCCATTTGTTCCTCGAGGCCCAGCCTAGAAGCCACCTCCTTCTTGAAGCCCTTCTAGATTTCTCTGGTCCTTTTGGTCTCTACCCCTCCTGTCCTCTCACAGCACTTCCTTTGCTTCTTTGATGTTGGAATGTTAGATCCTCTCTTCGTAAAACGTGGGTGCTAAGTCCTCCAAACAGGTTAAGTGTGCAGCTCCAACAATTAAGCAAGCCCCGGTCCCGGTGCCCAGGGTACCGAGCACGCGCCCGCACATCCGTCCCAGAGTGTAATCGCCGAAAGTGAACCCTTCAAACCCTCTCTCCTACGAAAGGGGCCGCCCTGCCCTTTCTCTCCTGACCGCCACTGACCTGGGCCTCCAGCCCCTGCAAAGCGAGGCTCAAGAGACCAGATCCGCGGGAAAACCAGCCTGAAGCTCGGGACAGGTGCCGAACACCTTAGCCCGGCAGGCCCCGCCCACGGCCCCGCCCCGGCTCGGTCCCCGCCCCCGAAAGCCCGCACCCGTTTCCCATTGGTTTGCGATCCGCCGAGGCCCGCCCCGCCGGGCCACGCCGCATCCTTCCCCTAGCCCGCCGCGCACGACCCCCTCCCGCCCTTCCAGGCCCGCCTCTCATTGGTACGTGCCCGAGGAGCCCGCCCCCGTGCCGTCACTTCCGGGCAGAGAAGCCCGCGGAAGGCGGAAGTGTGCGCTCAGAAGCGGTCGTGAAGACCGGCTGAGGTGTCCCTGCCTGGCACCCGGCTGCTTTTCCGCGTCTGGGCGCGGGAACACGGAGGCGGCCAGGGACAGCGAGTGGGGGACGATGCCGTGAGGCAGCCGCAGGGCCTGGCGGGGCCCGGAGGTTGACCGTCCCTGCCGCTTTCCCGCGAGGCCGCCTCTTCCAGGCAGTCGCCCGTCCCTCTCAGGGCCTCGCATCCTCCGTGGTCCCAGCGCCTCGGACCCGGGCTCCCGGCCCCTAGACCCCGCGCTATGACCGCGGCCGCCGCCTCCAACTGGGGGCTGATCACGAACATAGTGAACAGCATAGTGGGGGTCAGTGTGCTCACCATGCCCTTCTGCTTCAAACAGGTGAGTCCAGCGGCGCCGCGGTCGCCCCGCGGCCGGGCCGGGGGGAGGCGGCTGGGCGGGGGCTGCGGCCGGAACCAGACGAGACTCTGCCCGTAAGAAGCCCGCGGCGTGGCAGCCGGCGGCACCTGTCGGCTTTGGCCTGAGGGTTCGCACACTTCGTGATTTCGGATCGAGGCTCGGAGGTGGGAAGTGACCGTCGGGTTCCGTGTTCTTTCTCCCTATTACTACTATTATTGTTATTATTTTAATTTTAAGTAATCTTTAGGCCCAGCGTGGGGCTCGAACTCCCGACCCTGACACCCGGGGTCGACTTTACGGGGCTGAGCCGGCCAGGCACCCCCTCTTTGCTATTTTTAAAAACTCTGACCCGACTGTACTTGCCTTCGGAGTACACAGGTCCAGCCCTGCGGGCCTTGGGACTAGGTTGGGGTGTTGGCTCCAGGGTGATCCCACAGTGTGCCAGATTGTGGGTTTCACCGTATGTAAATGTTACCTCGGCTGAAAAAAATCTGAAATGTATTTTAAAAATGGGTGTCGTGCCAACATTAAAGGCCACATGGAAAAAAGCCACCCTTTGTGCCTTTGTGCGGTGTGGACCCATTTGGCTTCTGTTTAATCTGCAAATAAATGGGTGTTTGGTGATTTTCAAAGGGGAGGGTGGTGAGATTATCAAATTGGGCAGCTTCTTTCCTAAAAATGAACTCCCGGGCCTCCCGTGTGCCAGGCCTGGAGTTGCTGCTCCCCCTTCGCGCTGGAGAGGGCTGCTTGTGGGGGAGGAGGGGTGCCAGCCAAGGGAGGGGCAGGTGGGGCTGGGCAGGTGGCTGCAGGGCGCAAGGACCAGTCTTAGGGGATGAAACCAAATAGGGAGAAAAATGGAAATAAAATGGGCATTTTTTTTTTTAAAGATTTTATTTATTTATTTGAGAGAGAGAGAATGACAGATAGAAAGCATGAGAGGGAAGAGGGTCAGAGAGAGAAGCAGACTCCCTGCTGAGCAGGGAGCCCGATGTGGGACTCGATCCCGGGACTCCAGGATCATGACCTGAGCCGAAGGCAGTCGCTTAACCAACTGAGCCACCCAGGCGCCCCTAAAATGGGCATTTTGAAACTGAAAGTGGGCACCCGTAGTTTAATTTTAGCTTAACAAACACTTTGCCTTTTCATACTTAGCATCTTTGGGATAAAAATAGCACAAAATTTTTTTTTTTAAATCTGGAGATTATTAATCCCCCACCTGGAGCCCACCAGCCTGCATTGCTTCCAGCTTCCCGTAGGGGTTATTGGTGGCTGTGCTGGCAAAAACGTGTGGGCAGGAGGACAGGGACTCTGGCTGCTCTAGAGCCCCGGGGGCAGCATCTGTGACTTAGCTCTGTGAATCCCGGCGTGCACGGCCACTCGCAGGCATTTCTGGAAGGACTACGTGTCCCAGGGTGCACTGCGACTTGCCTGGCCCGGAGCTGCCTCCTGGGGCATGTGTGTGGTTGGGCCTCTGTAGGTCCAAGGCTGCCACCCTCCACGTGGGTCTGTAAAGTGCCACGCAGCAGGGCTCTGGTGGGACTCCTGGGAAGTACGCTTTTGGGCCCAGGTGATTCAGCTGTGCACAGATTTGTGTCTGCCGGGTGGTGGGCACAAGGCCCCTGCCAGACTACGCCCAGGAAGAGCTCACGCTTAGTGGTGGAGGCCTGCGTGCAAGCACAGGACCGTAAGGGGTCCCCCCTGTCCTGAGGGCCTAGCAGAGCGGGAGCAACCTCTCATCTGGACACAGCATCTTCTCCCTAGGGAGCCCTTGGCTGGAGCACTGAGGGAGGCCAGGGGGCAATTTGAGGATTTGTGTTGTTAGTGTTGGACAGCCACGTCATTTAAAAAAATTTTTGGTTTTGTGTTTTCTTCTGTTTGTTTGATTTTAGTAACTTGGGTACTTTTCAAAAAAATTAACACTTCACTGAAGTATAACATGCATACAGAGAAGTGTCCTTTTGGGTGTATTCACGGCGAATTTTCAAAAAGTGAACAAACACATGGAACTAGCTCCCAAATTAAGGAACAGGGCACAGCCAGCACCCCCCGTCCCTGCTGCCGGGCCCGCCGTCCCACCTCTAGCACCCTAGGTCGGTGGTACCTGGGTGGTCCCTTTGCGTAAGTAGAAGCACACTCTGATGTGCCTTCTCATGTCTGCCTAGTGTTCCCGTCTGAGGCTGTCCAGCGGGTTATTGCTTTGCCTTTGCTATAGGCATTCACGGCGTTTCCTACCCGGGGCTCTGCGAACACCTGTGCACGGGCTCTGACGCTGTGTGTGGGTTTCTCTGGGGTGTTTCTTGGAGCAGAGCAGCTGGATTGCACACACCTCCAGTAGAGGACACTTGTTTCTTCGGCTTTTATTTTTTTGCCTGCAAATATGTTTAATGCACTTAGATTACACAGAGGTAGAGGGAGCAAGAGGGAAACGACATCTAAGAGAGTCCTCCAAGAATTGTTACAAAAGTCCCGGGCTGGCGGCAGCCTCTAGGAACCAAGGCACCATTGACGTTAGAAACGAACATAAAATTTTATAAAAGTCTGCTGATTGCAGCCTTCAGGTACTTGTACAAAAGGAGGGCTCTCTCTGCCGGCTCCTGATTTGTGACAGGGACCCAGGCACCTCACCTGGCACAGGGGACCTGGAAGCCAGAGAAGAAAGACAGCTGGATTAAAAACATGCAGTCAGGGGAGTTCTCTCTTGGTCTTGCCCCACGGGGGCAGTCCCGAGACCCTGTGCTTATTTTTAAAAATGCTCTAGCCTTTTAGACTCTCCCCGAGACTTCCTAGTCCCTGCCCTGAAACTGTTTCTTCAGCTTTTAGATCACGGATAAACTCGCTATAAACGCCGGCAGACAAGTGTCTGTGGGTGAACACGTGTCCGTTTCTTCCAGGTGAATAGCGAGGAGTGTAATTGCTGGGTCAGAGGGTGTCTATTTAACTCACAAGAAAGGTGTAAATGTCATTTTTAATCTCTTCCCACCAGAATGTGTTCACCACTCATAGCTGTTGATCCCAGTGGCTAGAAGGGGATATATTGGGGGGTGCATGCAGAGAGCTGGGGAGGCCGGTTGTTGGCAGCGCCCAGCTGTTAAGACTCGGAGGGGCCACGAAGGAAGCAGCGTCCCTGGCACTTTTTCAGGGTCACAAAGCATGTGGTTACCACATGCCGGGAATTGGTCCCTTTCGGTGCTGGGAATCGTCACCCGTAGGCAGGGAAGTGAGGCAGAGCCGGGGCCTGGCACCTGCAAGAGTCAGGGGAGGTGGAGAGGGTGCTCAGGAGCCACGTGTGTGAGGCAACAACACTGGCTCATTTTATTTTCTCTTTTTCTTCCAACCCTCCAGTGTGGAATTGTCCTGGGGGCTCTGCTGTTGGTTTTCTGCTCTTGGATGACGCACCAGTCGTGCATGTTCCTGGTGAAATCGGCCAGCCTGAGCAAACGGAGAACCTACGCAGGCCTGGGTGAGGACATCGGCGCTCAGCATGGCGGCTGGGCATCCCCAAGCCCTTTCTTGGGAAGTGCAGCGTTCGAGATCTGGGCGCCTGGGGCCTTGCTCCTGTATTTATTTACTTTCCTTCCACTTTATGCTTAAAGAGTTCCTTGAACAGCAGGTTTTCTTCCTTATTTTAAAATTTAATGCCGTTTTTAAAAACCGTTCCTGGAGACACACGCTTCACTAAGGAGCTGACACTTAATTCTCCTGTTTCCCGTCTATGCAAATACCTGTGGAGAGAGCCTCCCCGTCCAAATTCAGGCGGGACCAGTGGCCCTCAGCGCCCCCTATGCACTTGCTCCCCAGCCCCCAGAGCCTTCCTTCAGAGCTGCCTGCCCGGGGGGCTGCGGCACTTCCCCGCTTTGAATTATGTGGGGGGGAGAAGGCTGTCGGGCCCGGGCCGGTGGCCGGGATTCAGTCCCCTGTCTCTCTAGCGCTGCTGTTTCCTGATGCTCTGGGTTGTAATTTCATTTCCTTTAGGTCTTTCTTCCTTTGATTTGGGCCAAGGGCGCGGAGGCTGTGCTTTCTGCTTCCTTTTGGTTTGGACTGGTTTCTGGGGCACTTGGCTCTGAGGGCAGGGCCCTGACTTTCCCGCCGCCCTCAGGCTGCTGTGCTCTGCATTCTGTGCTGGCGAGATTTGGCCTGGGGGCTCTCAGGAGCTGGGCAGAATCCCTGGGCTTCTGATGAAAGCTGCACCCCCCCCCCCCCCCCCGTCCACCAGTGTGTGGCCGGGGTGCCGGGTCTGCTCTCCCTCTCACAGCGGAGAGGAAGTGGTGTGCGGATTCCAAGGGGCCAAACAAAATAAAAACATCTGCAAGGTCCACGCGTGGGCTTTTGGCAGCGCCACCTCTGGTTCCCTTCCAGTTCGTCTGCTTTGCATTGGCACCGAGATCCTAGCATCTGTTCTGACCTCAGAGCTGAAGGAGTGCCTCCTTCTCTCCTTCCCGATGAGAATGGTGCTGCCAGGCTCTCGCTGTTGCTGGAGTCACTTGAGGCAGTGGCAGTTACAGGTAAACGAGCCGTGCCGACATGACCTCATGCGGCTCAGGACGCAGTGTGCTTCCCGGTGCCCCTTCCTCCGCCTGCGGGCCTGTGCCCTTCGGGGTGATCCTTTCCTCCCCGCCGAGGGTCAACATACGGCGGAGTTCCCGTAGCAGACGTCCCACAAAGTGCTCGGCTCTGCTCTGACAGAGGACAGGTGCCCCTACACCAGAGAGGTTGGTGGCTTTTGACAGCGGTCTGAGTATTCTTAGAAAGTCCCTAAGAAGGCAGACTGGTTTGGCTGGATGTGAGAGACTGCAGGGAAGGCAGACGGTGGACACCCTTGTGCGGGGCTGCCTGGGGCTCCTGCCTTTAGCTGCTCGTGGTGAGTGTAGCCTGGCGCTCGAAGCAAAAGAGATCCCAAACCGCCAGTGGTCTTCAGTTGTGCCTTTGGTCCCAAACGAGATGGCTCAGTTGTGTGAGCTCCCGCAGACCCCGTGGCCCCGTCTGCGGTGTCAGCTGCCCTGGGTCTAGCCTCAGAAACAGAGAGACCCCACCGCTTGGAAAGGAGTCCTAGACGGGAAGAGAGGAGATTTTCTCTTGGACCCTGTGGGTCAGCGGCCTTCCTGCTCCTGGGCAGACTTACTGAAAGGGTCTTTCTCCTCATCCTCTGCCTTCTCCTGGGCGAGAAACCCCACAAGAGCTTGCACCACAGCTGGAGAGGGTGGCCTGAGAGGAGGCCTCGCCGCATCCTGGTGCCCTGGGGTCCGGGATAGACAGCCTTTGTCGCCAGAGCCCCGGGCCCCAACATGCATCGTCTGCGGGATCCGTGGCCGTCGGGCAGCGTTGGGGGCAGGGACGTGGCCAGATGGCCTTCGGGCGGACCTGGCGACCGCAGGGGCTGGAGTGGCAGACGCAGCTCACCCAAGTGGGCTCCACGGCAGGGGTGGGGGGTGGGGGGTGGGTTCACGGAGGGGGCCTGCCACGCCCAGATGTGAGTGAGACTTTGCTGCGGTTCCTGAGTTTGGTGAGCCCCCGGCGGCCATCCCCGTGCCGCCCCCTCCGCTGTGAGTGGCGCGCGGGCGTCTGCTGCGGGGTGAGCTCTGCCAGCCGAATCGCGGGGCTGGTGCCATGTCTGTGGATGGAGTTTCTGTGTTTTTGTGGTGTTCTGGTGGCTGCTCTTGGGCCACGTTGGTGAATTTCATCCACTTCTTACCTGACACTCCCTCGCCCTGTGTATCCTGCTTTGTGTAGACTTTTTTTTTTTTTTTTTTAAGATTTTATTTATTTATTTGAGAAAGAGAGTGAGAGAGATTACTAGCAGGGGGAGCGGCAGACTCCATGCCGAGCAGGGAGCCCGATGCGGGGCTCCATCCCAGGACCCTGAGATCATGACCTGAGCCGAAGGCAGACGCTTCACCGACTGAGCCACCCAGGTGCCCTTGTGTAGACTTTCCTAACCTTGTTTTCAGAAGATAGGCATGCCAGCCAGGCAGCCTCCCCCAGTGGTCTTAGTCCCCTGGGGCCACCCCAAGGCCCGGACCTCACTGTGCTGAGTGTGGCCTCTGAGCTCTCAGTTGTGAGCACTAGATGCTTCTGGCACTGTGTCTGTGGTCCTGGGGTCCTGGTCAGCCTGCTGCCCACTCCTGGGCCTGGGGTTGGGCCTGCTGAGGGCCTGTCCAGCCAGTTTTCTCCCTGCTGGTCTTCAGATGTGTGACCCATGTGCGTGGATATGTGGCTTGGGCGTGAGGGCTGTAAAGGCAACCTTTCTGATGCCTGGGGGTCTCTACACCCTCATTTATCCAACAAATGTTTATTGTCCTCTGTGCCCGTGGCACTGGGGAATCAAATGCAGTCCAAGGCCTGGCTCTGGGGACGGCTGGGTTGAGGTCACCCTCCTCGCTTGAACAACACAGTTTGGTGTGCGTACCGCCTTCTCTGCCCTGCTGATGCTGGGCTTCGGTCAGGAGGAGGCTTTGGATAGCTGGTGGAGAGAGCGGGAGTGGGGCCGGGGTCCTGTACTGAACCAGGTGGTCTAGGAGTCAGCCCTGTGTCCACAGCAGCCTTGGAGCCACAAGCCAGGCAGTGACTCCCAGGAGGAGAAGCTGCTGCCTGGCCTCCCAGGGAAGGACAGGGAGAGCCTCCCTCATGCCCGTCCTTGCTCTGCAAGGGAGCACCGGTTGGGCTGGGATGAGGCCACGTCTACCCCTAGTCCCCATGTGGCCCAGCCTGTTGGCCGCAGAGTGCCCGTCCCAGAGAGTGGCATGCTTGCTCAGAACCCCTTTCACCCCTTTTGCAGACACCTGCTGGCCTGTTGGGGCTGGTCCATCACTGTGGTTCCTCCCCTGAGGGACAGTCCTGGGCCCCCTCTGCCCTTCCAGTGCCGTGCCAGGTGGGAGGCTAAGGGCAGGGTGCTGCTGGGCATTTCTGTTTGAGACTCGGGGTTGGAGGTTGCTGAGGGATCTGCACTTGAAGTGGGGGGTGGGGGAGCCCAGGTAAAGAAAGGGGTGAGTGGGGAGGCCAGAAACTGGAACAGCCCTGTTGGGATGTCGTTCTGGGTGTCTGGGTGAAGAGTGCCCCCTCCCACCTTGGTTCCCTGACTAGCTAGAGTACCGTCTGTTGCCTCGCTGTCCAGGATGCAGGTGTGTTCTGGAATTTTTGCTGGCAGTTGCTCCGAGCATTTGGGATGCGCCGTGGCTATTCACCTTCCTCACAGAGAAGGGACAGCCAGGAACGGAGCCACCTCTGTGGGGCACTGAATTATGTGTCCTGTCTAGAGGCGTGCTTCCTAGCAGCTGTCCTTGGGAGCCTCGGAGCGCCTCCCTTGGGTGACAGCAGGCCTTGGGCTGCTGCCTGCTGACTGGAGTCCTTAGTTTGTGAAGGTCTCAGCTTGGCCTTGAGTCTGTGGCCAGGAGTCAGAAAGCCAGGGAGGCCGGCATGACCCTCAAGGCAGGGGCTTGTGCTGCTCACCGGCCTTCTGCCCATTCATGGCCTCTGTCCTCTGTGTGATGTGCCAAGCTCCCTTGCATTTGGCAACGCTCTACCTCTTCCTAAGTCATTGAGAAGTGACGAGTATTGTTTGGACTCATTCACACCAACTGGCTGCATGTTTCCTGCTCTGCAAGTCTCCTCAGAACAGGAAGCTGGGCTGGGCTGTCACACGCACCCCTTTCTGGTCGCTCCTGGGAGATGGGAACTTCCCTAGAGGGTGGGGGCATGCAGGGCTCCTGAGGCCACGGTTAGGTCCTGGGAGGGGCCTTGCCAAGCCAGCTCTTAATCTCTCCTCTGCTCAGAGCAGTTCTGCTCTCAGGAAGGAAGGACAGACAGCTCCATTCCACTGTAGGACACACTGTTGTCTACCTTGAGGGGGGCAGGCCTGGGACCTCTTGTCCCTCCCCCCAGAGTGCCCCACGAGAAAGGATTCTCTTAAGTTTTCCTCTGGAATCACAGAGGGTGAACCTAAAGCTCTTAGCCAAGTCCCTTTGGCACGGGCCATGGAAACGTGGAACTGTCCGCGCCCTGCCCCGGCCCGGGTGCGCCTCCTCCACGGTTGCACGTGGGAGACTGCCACTTCACGGGGACAGGTCTCCTTTGTTGTTTTTAATGAAAAAAAAATCAACTGCCTGTGGCTTTCTCGCCTTTTTGTTCGTTTTTCTGTGGTTTCCATTTGTTGATGGTAGACCTGGAAAAAGCATGGGACCAGAACCTTAAAATGCTCTCCTTACACCCTTGAAATGCTGGACCAGCAGGTTTTTGTCAAATGGCCCTTCCCAGCCCCCCTTGGCGGTGTCTTTGCTCGCGCTCGTCATGCCGTCGGACTGACTGCCGGTTCTCTTTTGCACTAGCGCTGCACGCCTACGGGAACGTCGGGAAGATGCTGGTGGAGACCAGGTACGTGGTGGCGCTTTGCCGGCTTCACCCCCTCGGTCCTGAGGAGAAGCCTGAGGGCCATTTCACACTGAGCCACACGTCTCGGATGTGGACTGCTTTACAAGGTGGTACTTTTCTCGCGTGTCACTTACTAAATAGTTGAAGGTTCAATTTATCATTACCCTTAAAATGATTCATGTCGAGGGCGAAAGTCCCATATAAGTCTTACTAAGGAAGATGTGAAAATGGGGACCTCGGGGAGCTCAGCCCTGCTCCCGAAACCCGTGTGCCCCCAGCCCCCCACACAGTCACCTTGAGGCAGCATGAAACTGGAAATGTCCTGTCTTTCTCCCTTTCGAGTAGAGTTTTATGGGATGAAAAAGTTGCTGGGAAATTGCACTTTTAGGCTTGTAAATTAGGGAATCGTGAATGCCGAAGAGCAGCCCTCTGAAAGCAGTTGATCGTTCTTTTAACTTGTGTAGCATCACAGTACGGTTTGGTAGCCCTGGAAAGATCGCACACAGCCTCCTGTGCAGAGAAAAGCTTAGTCATTCAGCGTTTGTTCCACGTAAAAGAGCGAAGTGCACCGGGCACAGCTCAGGCCTGCAGGCCAGAGTTCTCGGGGCATCGCATCTCACCGGGCCAGCCTCAGGCGGTCACGAGCCAGCTGTGTTGGTGGGGACGGGTCTCGGCGAGGGGCTGAGTTGGTGGACTTCTGCTAGGATGGGGCCCTTTCAACCCGACCTCGTTCTCTGCAGCATGATCGGGCTGATGCTGGGGACCTGCATGGCCTTCTACGTTGTGATTGGTGACTTGGGGTCCAACTTCTTTGCTCGGCTCTTTGGGTTTCAGGTGAGAACATGCTTGGGACCCGGTGCATTGGTGTGGTTGCGGTTGCTCCTGGGGCAGCTTCCTGTGACGCTCCTGCAGGGCTGCATCTCAGCCCCGTGGGGACCGGGGGACAGGGTGAGACCAGCCACCTGAGGTCGGTTAGAAGAAGCTTCTGGATGCTGTGGGGTTAGTTCCAATCCTGCGGGTTGGAAACTGGGAATCCACAGGGGTGATTCCTGCCCAGCATGCTCGGCTCCCCCCAGGTGATCGGCACCTTCCGTGTGTTCCTGCTCTTTGCGGTGTCCCTGTGCATCGTGCTCCCGCTCAGCCTGCAGAGGAACATGATGGCCTCCATCCAGTCCTTCAGCGCCATGGCCCTCATGTTCTACACCGTGTTCATGTTTGTGGTGAGTGCTGGGGTTTCCTGGGGGTGACGGGAAGGTGCTTAAAAGCCTGGGGAAATGTTAGAGTCATCCTTGTGAGCCCTGGTGGGGCGCGTGGGCCACCTGAACCTGGGCCATCAGGGCAGCAAGGGTGCCAGGGCAGGGGGTGTGGCCAATTCCCCAGGAAACAAAGTGTAGATGCTCCTTGTTTTACAGAAAGACATTTCATGTGTAGTTTGTGATCAGGAGTCATGGCGCCAGCATTTGGTCACAAGGGGTCAAGTTGTTTTCTAGAGGAACATTCATAGCCAGCCAGTTCTCGGGGGCCGGTATGGAATGCATGCTCAGAACGCTCCTTTCCTACTGAGTGCCTGGAGGCCTCTGAGTGGGAGCCTCTGGGGCCTGAGCCCAGGGCCTGCCCGTTGACGCGAGGGTCAGACCCGCTCGCTCCTGAGTGAACGCAGTGAAAATCTTTGCCATAGCTTTTCCTTAGAAAGCTGAGCACTGGGTGGCCATTCCCAGCATCCCCCAGTTGTGAGGGCTGCCCAGTGATGGTTACACTACTCTCCAGACAGCCCTGTCCTCTGGGGGTTTGTCTTTTAGTGTGTGTGTGTGTGTGGGGGGGGAGCCCTGGCTGCCTCAGTCGGTGGAGTGTGCAACTCTTGATCTCAGGGTCTTGAGTTCGAGCCCCATGTTGGGCGCAGAGCCTACTTAAAAAAAAGAAGAAAGTGTCCAGATGGGCCTGGGAAGGGCCTGCCAAGTTTGTGGGGACCGTCCCGTCACCTGAGGCAACTGAGGTGGGCGTCTGCTGTGTGCATTCAGGGCACGGGCAGCTGCCTTGAGTGCCAGGAAGGCCCTGCAGCAGGAACTCCTGCCGGCTGTGTGTGTCCAGCTCGCGGCACAGCACAGGGCAGCAAGCTGGGGGTGCGGGGCCCCCAGCCGGCGGCACCAGGTCTTGCCTACAGGGGAGCATGCGGCCGAGCTGCGGGTAGCACGGCCCCAGCAGCGTCAGTAGCCCACCCGGCCGGGCCTGGGGTCCCGGGTCTGCCTCGTATGCTGATCTGTACCGAGCTCATTCCTTACCCTCATATGCAGATCGTGCTCTCCTCCCTCAAACACGGCCTGTTCAGTGGGCAGTGGCTGCAGCGGATCAGCTACGTGCGCTGGGAGGGCGTCTTCCGCTGCATCCCCATCTTTGGCATGTCCTTCGCCTGCCAGTCGTAAGTGCTGTCTGCTCCCCAGGGGCCCGAGGCGTGGGAGTGTGCCCCGGGGCGGGGGTCGATGCAGGGAGGTGGGCGTTGTCTGTTCTCTGTAATTGGTGATGCAGGCCACCAACGTGTACTGTCTCATTCTATTGTGACTTGTTCCCCCTCCAAGTCGAGGGAGAGAGCTGTGTGTATTTTTATCGAGAGAGAACTCGACTTTATTCCCGAGACGTGCTGCCGGCAGTACTGGGGACAGTGCCCAGTTCGCCCCCCCCAAGAAGAGTTGGCTGTGGGGAACACAGAACAGCCCCAAACCATCTGATTCACACAGTCCCAAGCATTTTGCCAGAATTGAGCTGTTCGTGTGAGAATATTTAAAAGGAAATTGCACAAACATTGACTTCCGACTGCCACCAGGGCGTCTTCAGAGGGGTGTGCGCGTGCGCGAGTGTGTTTTCTCTCTGGCACGCGGAGCTCTGTGAATGCAGAGCAGGCTATTTCCATAATTCCAGCAGCATTACCTTCGCCACCGAATGACAAGAGCCAGTGATTCATGCCCGGTCGGAACAGTAACCTGCTCAAAAGAGAGGCGTAAATCCGGCATGGACGGGAAAAGACCATCAGTGCACAGGGGGGCTGGCAGAGCCGGCCCCCCCATAGCTCCAGTGGGCATGTATTGTGCCAATCGTAAACTAATGTGGCAGATAAAATTTGCTCGTGCTGCTGTGTTTACACCCACATGCAAGATCCAAGTCGTCATTTCCCACTTACTGTCTCTCTTGGCAGCTCGGTTTCCACCAGAACACGCTCTACTCTTGCTGTTTAATGTCCCCTTTATAATTGGTGACAGAAGTTACATTCTTTTACCTTGTTACCAGTTGTCCTTTTTGTCTGAGTTTGCTTTTTAAAAAATAAACCTGTGGTTGGGCTTTTTGGTGGTGACCACAGAGTAGCCAGCCCACCTCTGTTGGGTTTGGTTCTTAGACCAAATGATAGGTTCCAGAAGGGCTGTGAGCCCACAGCTTGTTCTTCTGCTCGAAGAGAGCGTCGGCCCTATGGATAACGCCCACGTTCTCCCCAGTGAGTGGCTGGCAAGGGGGTCCGCGGAGCTTGGGGTGACCTGTTTGCCGACCTCCCCACCCTTAAAAACATTTGCATTTGCCAAGGGTAGAGACAGCTCTCCCCTCCCACTGTGTCTCTGCCCCAGAGTGCGTGAGAGACAGGGGCTTGCCTGGTGACCGCCAGACCACCAGGCCGTGGCTGTGTGACTGGTATCCTTTCTGTAGCGATGGGCCAGGCCTCTGCTTTGCTTTTGCTGTCTGGCCCTTCCTGATCTTACTTCCTAGTAAACGAGTACTTGGTGGTGCAGAACCACTAGGCCCTGTGGCCCAGAGAAGCAGCCCGGAGAGTGCTGAGCACAGAGGAGCCTGGTCCACACGGAGGCCCGGGTTTGTGCATTGGGGCTGCACATGGAAGGCTCCATCTGACTCGGGTAAAATGAGTCATGGAGGCTTCTTGGCAAGGTGGGTGGTCTGGGAACGCTCTGTGGAGTGCCGAGGTGGGTCGTCGTGGACGTCTGTGGCTCCCAGCAGCGGGTTCCTGGGGCACACGCTTAGAGGGGGGCCACCGCCTTGGGCTTTCTGCACTTGTTCACGTCCCCGCACTGGGCACAACCCCTCCCCACAGCACCTGCAGCTCCTGCTGTGTGCTGGGGGCCAGGGGAGGGAAGTCCCCATCTGGGGGTCTGACTCCACTCCCCCAAGTTGGCACTCGCTGGCGTGGACCCTGTCCCAGCCCAAGGAGCTGCTTGGCATTGAGATGTTGGTACTGTTTCCCCTCCAGCCCCTCTGCCATCGGCTTGGACTGCATGGGCAGGTGCTGCCTGGCGCCCTCCAGCCAGGCCGAGGGGAGGACAGCTATCCGGGGCGACCCCTGCCCTCTGTGGGTGCCCCAACGGGGCCGGGGGCCCGAGCTGGGAAGCACAGTTCCCACCAGTTCCTGTTTGCTTTTCAGTGACGTCTCCTCTCACTTTCTCGAAGGTGGTTTTGGGGCTTGGCTCCACTCATTGTTATGCTTGTCCATTTATTGGCAATGAGTTTCTGCACCCTGACGCCCCCCTGCCAGTTGGCATCCGGCATGCGTGACCGCTGGCCATGGCTCCCTCTCCCTCAGCCTCTGGGACGCCACAGCACACAGGAGGGAGAGTGGCCGCCTCTCTGGGCACCCCTGAGTGTAGCTTCCCTTCCCGGGTCTGCACACAGACCTCCCTGCCCACCCCCCGGCCCTCCCCACTGCTCCCCTCAGGGACTGTCTGTTGTTTGCAGAGAACCCGGTGGCCGTGTCCCGTCCACCAGCCGGCAGCACTGTGCTGCTGGCCCTGGGCCGTGCGTGGGACAGAAGCTGCTCTCTGTCCCTGTGGGCTCCGATCGGCAGCACTGAGGCGAGGGCAGGTGGCCCGGCCCTGCTTATGTTTGTTTAACTTTCTGTTCTTTTGACGGCGATGCTCTCTCTGAACCGCTTCCTGCCTCCCCTGTAAACACGTGCTGCTTCAGTGCAGTGGTCCCACTCCTGCTTCTGCGGGACAAATGGCCTTTCATTCGGTGGCACTTTTGAAATGTTTACAGAGAGCTTGTTGGGGGGGTGCTCTGGCTGCACTCTGCCATCCAAACCTCGGCTGCGGCCCTGAGTTACCGTGGCAGTGGGTGTGGTTGGAAGGAAGGTGCTGGAGACTCGGTTGGGGACCAGGGACCTGGGAATGAGGGTGGGCAGAGGATGTGTCTTTCTCTGGAATCTGCTTGGCGAAGTCACTCGTTTTTATACAGCCAGGTTCTGCCCACCTACGACAGTCTGGATGAACCGTCGGTGAAAACCATGAGCTCCATATTCGCCTGTTCCCTCAACGTGGTCACTGCCTTCTATGTCACGGTAGGTGCCCTTTCACACCGCCACCTCCTCTCCCGTGTCAGGAACGGGCTTGGCTCTCGGCCCCGGGCAGGTTTGCCCACTGCTCCTTTCCCACCTGGGGACTGGTGGCCATGGGGCAGACCTGCCCCTCCGTATCACTCCCATCCCGGGGCCGTGCAGGCACCTCAGCATGGGCTGCTCCCATGTCACACTGGCTGGGAGTCTCTTCTCACTTCTCCGAGACCTCTGCTCATCTCCTGTGGAAAGGGGCATGTCTGTTTACAGAAACTGGGGAGTATAAAATAGTGGAGGAAGAAAATAATCTTTGATTCTGGCCCACAGTGCAGTTACAGTTAACATTTTGGTATTTTTCTTCTGGTTCTCATGTTTCCATTTGTACTGTTTTTCTACACTGCAAGTAAAATGAGCAGTGCGCTGAGATTCTAGCTTGTTTCCCCGAGCTCTGCAGCATCCACTTCTTGTTAGTTTCTACAGATGGTCCACGCACTTTGTTGTCCATGTGGTGGGGCCGTCCACCGTGAGCACGGTTTTCACCGCGGCCCTGGGTTTGGATGTTGCCCCACAGGAAGATCGGCTGCTCTGCGGGGCTCACGGGGCATCCTGAGACTTCCTTTCCACGCGGTAGCTCACTGCCCTGGTGCCTGTTGTCCGCACGGGAAGTGTATTGGACCCTCCCTGACGGCGGAGCCTTCCGTCTGTGGGCGTGCGGTTTGCGGGCCAGCAGTCCCGCGGGCGGCATGGTCTTGCTCAGGCTGCTTGTGGGGTGGCCTGTGGGCTGTCTCCCGGACCGTGCGCCCCCCCGCTGTCACCCTGCCGCAGGTCGGCTGCTTTGGCTATGTGAGCTTCACCGAGGCCACCGCAGGCAACGTGCTGATGCACTTTCCCTCCAACCTGGTGACGGAGATGATGCGAGTGGGCTTCATGATGTCAGTGGCCGTGGGCTTCCCCATGATGATCCTGCCGTGTCGACAGGCCTTGAACACGCTGCTTTTCGAGCAGCAGGTAAGATTCTTAAGGCCCTTCAGGCAACACTTCACTGGGAAAATGTTACTTTGCTGATCTTAATTATGTCTTCTTCTGTTGCCTTGTGCTAGTTCTTTAGTTTTCTGGGCTGTGGCAGGGGGAGCTTTTCCTAGTTAAAAATGGAAGAGCTTCAGTTAAAGTGAAATCTTTTAATAGGGATTTTTTTTTTTTTTAAAACCAACTTTGGAGAAAAGAGATGGTGCCAGAACACACAGGGGTCCGTCCACACAGTAGGTGTGAAGCCGTGCCCAGTGTCCGAGCAGGTCAGGCCCCTGTCCCGACTCCCTAGCCCCTGGCTGTCACCCCCGAATCAGAGATGGAGCAGGAAACCCTGAGGGGTGAGGAGTGACTGGGAATGCAGAAGAGCTGGCTTCCTAGGCAGGCGCCGACCACAGTCAGGTCGGCAGATGAGCATGGGGGTCAGTGTGCTTTGCTTTTTATGTTTGTGTAACTGGACGTTTTAAGAGTTTGACCAGAGACGCCATGATAGGCTGAATTCCGTTCACTTTCATGTGTGCGGTCATGGCCCGGCTTAGTCCTTAACGAGAAGTTTTCAAAGGTATGGGTTGGAACTAAAGGTTTCTCTTGGCTCTCACTTTTGCCAAGTTAAAAACAAAAGGTTCTTGTGTAATGGCTCGTGCCCCAAGATGTGGGGTGAACCCTTGCCTGTCATAGGAGCCCACAGACAGACCTGCCCGCAGCTTTTCTCCATGATGGAGTCTTGTATCTCTGGCCGGAGGTCCGTGAGCGTGGTCTGCCGTGTCGGCCAGCACTCCTGGCGGCCACACACTTTGAACATTTAGGCCATAGGGTGGGTGGCAGGGGGCGCCTGGGGGTCTCAGAACTCCAGGAGACAGTGAGTCCAGTAGCCAGACTGGGGAAGCCGGGCACCTGGGCCTTCAGAGCAGCTAGAACTAGCCTCACTGTCCATGTGGTCGGCGTGTGCTCAGAGCAGCTTCCCGCCGGTTTTGCCACCAGAGACGGCACCTCATGGCGGAGGCAGAGCCCTGAAGGACCGGCCGTCCTCGCCCCTCCGGTTTGACCCCTCATCCCCCATTCCGTTGGCTGGGCAAGCCCCTGGGCGCCAAACGTGGCCTGATTTAGCACTTTGTCCCTTGGGGGCAGTGGTGGGGGCAGCTCCCTGGCCCGCCTCAGCACTGTGAGCTGTGGGCTTCCGTCTTTCCCGCTTTGATGCCGATGTATAGTGTATGAACAGCATTTGTGTTGCTGTATATAATACATTTTTATCATTTAAGAAACAAAGTCCACAGTGGCATTAGAGGCAATGTTAAATCAGGAAAGAAAATTCACCTACATCCCTCCGTCCTCCCACGGATGACGTGGCGTTTCTGTGCCTCTCTTTAGAGTCCTTTCAGTGAGGGTTCTCCTGTCTTCACCGGGTGTCTCCATGGAAACCCGTGGCACCTCTGCGCTCCTGCTCTTCCAGCTTTTGTGGGATGCTCTGCTTGTTGTGGGTCCTTCACGCTTGACCTCTCACGGATAGCTCTCTCTTGACCTTCACATGTAGAGCTCCCCCTTCTCCCTCTCCTCTTGGAGTATTGGGTAGATTTCTAGGCATGAGTCCTGGGGTCAAAAGGGGTAGCCCTAACACCCCTCCTTGCCGGGCCTGGTGCAAGTTGTCATTCTAAGGTCAATCAAAAATTGGGGCTGCAGCCCCGTCAGTCCATCCTAAGAAAGCCACCTGCGTAAAGGGCTATTGTGGAAATGGGGTGATTTGAAATTCTAGTTATGGAAGGTTCTGAGGCTCCCCTGGTGTGGTGTTTTCCCAGCTCAGGAATAGGAACCGTGGTCAGCCCTTCCTGTGTGCCCAGCACTGCTCTAGAAGCTTCACTCCTGCTACCTGACCGGAAGATGCTTCTGGTGCATGGGCCTTGGAGGAGGAATAACTTTGGGTTTGGTTATGCTACGTCGTGCCCTCTTCCCTTCTTCTCTGAAGCACCTGGAAATGAGGACTGACCACACACGGGTGTGCGTGGGAGCGTGTGCCCCTGGGGGGTTCTGCTGCACTCGGAAACCATCACCCTGGCTCTGTGGAGCTGGGTTTGGCTTCTGGTGGTCCTGTTTTTAATCTCTCTCATGCATTGCTTTGATGGAAAATGGAAGGACTTGCTGCTTACATTTCAAAACAAAGTTGTAAAATTTACGTTCCATGCCTGATGCTAGGAGCAATCCCTTCCCGGCGTTTTGCTGGGTTGGGTTATGGGTTGGGTTATGGCTTCACATGAACGCTGCTCAGCCAAGTCGTACTGTGTCTGGAGTCCCCTACCGGACTCCCACGCACACCCACCTGGGGCACCGGCAGAGCCCTTTAGGGGCATTCTTGCTAGAGAACGGAGAGGAAATCAGTTATTTCAAAACCTTTTTGTTTTCTTTCACCCAGCAAAAAGATGGGACCTTTGCTGCTGGAGGCTACATGCCCCCTCTGCGGTTTAAAGCACTTACCCTCTCAGTCGTGTTTGGAACCATGGTGGGTGGAATCATGATCCCCAACGGTAAGTGGGAGGGCTGCTCTGGGGACTGGTTTCCTGCCGGGTCTGTCCCCCATCCTTGCTGTGATGTGCAGGGACCCTGGGGCTGTCACTGCCTGGAGTCTCCGTGTTCAGCCAAGACGCTCAGAGTCTCACATTGCCCTCTCTAGGCTCCTAAAAAAAAATCTAGAGACTCTCTTCGAATCTTTCGTCCCCGCCCCGGGAAAGGCATGGGGCAGTGTAGCAGCCTCAAGGAGCCACAAGCATGTGGAAACCTGAGCAGGTGACCCCCAGGGTTGACGCCCGGGTGGGGTGCCAGCCTGATGGGTGAAATCAGTGGTGATACTGTTGGTTGACCCCTGAGTTTGATGATGCGTCACCAAGGGAGGGGAAGGGCCTGAGCGAGATTCTTGTTGTCAGACGCTTCCTCCCAGACACACGGAGCTTACGTTATCACATACTGAGTGGAGCATACGTGCGCTCGCCCAGCGAACCAGCCAGGCACACACACGTGTCCTGGGCCCCATCCTACTCTGTCACTCGCTGAGTGCGGTGGAGAGGGTGGTGATTTAAGATGAGCCGCCATCTAAGAAGCCCCCACTGGATGCCAGATGCTCTGTGGGGAGCCAGTGCGGTGCTGTAGGCCTCTCTCGGTGCTGGGCCCCGCGGGAAGACACGTGCTTCTCCTGCCTCACCGAGGCTCACCCCGTCAAGGGAGAGAGCCACGTTGCCTCCATTTCACTGGCCAGGAAACTGAGGTGCAGGGAGTAGGGAGCTTGCCTGAGACTCCTGGCTGGAAAGGTGCGGCCTCTGGTTCTCACGGGGCTGCTGATCCCACACTGTTCTCTGTCTGTGGTATCAGGATACCCTTCAGTTGCTTGTGGGCACAGAAGGCTGTGCCCCCGCTCCCGCTGGTGTTCTGGAGGTGTGTGTACATAGGCCTAGCAGCAGGGCTGGCTTGCCCGCCTTGTGCTTGCTGAAAACCTTCATTCAGGCCCTTGCCGGAGCCCCTGGCGCTCACCCCCTCCTGTTGCTTCTCGTTCCCAGTGGAGACGATCCTGGGCCTCACGGGAGCGACGATGGGAAGTCTCATCTGCTTCATCTGCCCGGCTCTGATCTATAAGAAAATCCACAAGAACACCCTTTCCTCCCAGGTGAGCGCTGCTCATCCCCGCCCAGGATTGGTCTGGGGTCATGTTCTCAGAGGAGAGTTTCTTAGTGTAAAAGGTACTTGGTTCTGAAGATCTGGGAGATGCAGGGCCAGGCCAGGCCACTACCACTGTATGTACAGAGGTTCCCAGGGGCCCGGGGCTGTGTGTGTGTGTGTGTGAGAGAGAGAGAGAGAGAGAGAGAGAGAGAGAGAGAGACCAGCTTACTTCATCTGAGCGTCGAAGACTGAACCACTTTTCCCCAAGTATGTGTTAGTACGGTGGCTGGATCATCCGTGTTCTGTGTGTGTGCGTATGCGGCATGCCCTGTGCCCCTCCCCCGTTCCCATCCCCCACTGTCTCACGAGGGGACTGTCTGGTGGGGTCCCCTCTGCCGTGCTCTGCTGTCACGGACAAAACTACGATGATTCTCCGTGTATGCGAGTGTTGGGGTGGATTTGAGAACGTGTCTGTAGGAAGCTTTCTGGAAAAGGAATCCCTGTGTCCAAGAGGATGAGCGTGTGTAACCGGGGTGGCTTTCACCCACGGCCCACGCAGAGGTCAATGCTGTCACTTCCCAGACAAGCCCAGGCCTCTTTCCCCCTCAGCAGCCTGCAGGGACGTCAGGATCTTTCCGTGTGTTTATAAGCTACTGCATTTCTTTTTCTGTGAACTGTCCATGTGTTTTGCTCACCTTTTATGGGCTTACTGAGCTTTTTCCTTCTGGGATGTTTCGGTAACGGTTTCAGGAGTGCTGTACAGCGAGCATACAGCAAAGCACCTAATTCTCCATACAGTGTGATGACTGTTTGCCAAGTGAACCCAGCCACGGAGCCACCGTCCAGGGCAGGGTTAGAACATTCCAGCACCCAAAGCTTCCCCAGGCATCTCACAGTCTTTCCCCTCCAAAGGTTACTGCTCCTCTGTCTTCTAACGTTTGGGAATAGTTTTGCTTGTCCTTGGAGTTGGTATAAACAGAGTCTTAGGACACAACAGTGTTTGTGTGTGTCTGGCCTCCTTACTCGAGCGTCACGTCTCAGGTCAGCCATGTCGCCGTGGGGTGGGGCAGCCTGCCCATTCTCGCTGCTGCAGGACACTGCGCCGTCTCCCCGGAGCACACAGCGGGGCTCTCCACATGACTAATCTGTGATGTGTGTCCGGCGTGTGCGTGACTCACCGAGGCAGGGTTGTTGGGTCTTGGGGTTACGTCTGTCCAGCTTTAGGAGATTTTGCCAAGCTTTTTCCAGTTTTCCCAAAGTAGTCCTCCGGCACCACGTTAGAATTCTAGCTGCTTTAGCCTCTGCTGTCCCTCTCACGCATGCTGCCCTTCCGAGGGGTGTGCAGTGGTACTTCCTTGGGTTTTAATTTGCGGTTCCCAGATGACTGTGATGTTGAGCACCTTTTCATTGCTTGTCAGCCGTGTGAGTGCCTTCCTTTGTGAAAGTCTTTTGTGTCTTGCCCCGTTTTACCTCCCGGGTTGTCTCCTTAATGATTTGTGGAAGTTTTTAAGATTCTGGATCTAAATCTTTTTTCAGAAGTACAGATCAAAAATGTTTTCTTTCACTTTTGGCTATCTTTTCATGTTCTTCATGATACCTTTTCACCAACAGGTGTTCTTCATTTTATTTTATTTTTTTTTTTTTAAGATTTATTTATTTTAGAGAGAGAGTGCATGCGAGCAGGTGCAGTGGGGAGGGGCAGAGGGGGAGGGAGTGAGAATCTCAAGCAGACTCCACACTGAGCTTGGAGCCCGACCTGGGGCTCGATCTCACCACCCTCAGATCACGACCTGAGCCAAAACCAAGAGTCAGACACCCAACTGACTGCGCCACCAGGCACCTCAGGTGTTCTTCATTTTAGCATAGTTCAGTTTGTCACCTTTCTTTTTGGCTGGGTGCTTTTTATGTGCTGCCCATTTATAAGGTCCTGCAGATAGCCTTGTAGGTTATGTTCTAGAAGCTGTTTATTTTATTGTCCACATTCAGATGTGTGCTCTGTCAGGAATGGATGGGGAGGTAGGGTGAAGGCTCTTAGCTGATTGCAACCCCCCTTCCCCGGCACGGTGGTGGCACTGCTGTCGTCAGTCTCCCGTGTGCCTGGGGGGAGTGCTGGGGACACCTCTGTGGCTGGTCTGTCAGTCTGTCCTTGTCCTCATGTGGCCCTGCTCTGAGTGCTGTGGCTTTACAGTGAGCCTTCATGGTGGGCGACGGGCCCCTCGACCTTCATTCTTCTCCCAGAGGGTCTTTCTGTCACTGGCCCTGAGCGTTCGCAGCTAAGTCAGCTTGCCAGCCTCCTCCTGCACAGCCATGTTGGATTTTGACAGGGTTGTACCAAACCACGGACTGAAGGACTGACCCTACTCTTCAAGTCACAGCATATTCCCCAGTTTTCCTTATGTCTTCTTTTGCCCATGGCTTCTTTAGATGTCCAGACTTCGGGGGATTTCCTAGTAACCTCTTGTACTGATTTCTACCATGATCCCATTGGGGTTGGAGAACACACAGTTAAGAATTTGAATTTCAGTCCTTAGACATTTTTGAGACTTACTTTTGGGACAAACCAGCATATGGTTTGCTCTGATGGACGCTCAGTGGGCTGTGTATGGTTAGATCAGGTTTACTAACTGCAATTGTCAGATTTTATGTGTTCTTGCTGTTTTTTTAATCTTGTTTATCAGTTACGGGAAAGATATGACAAGTTCACTGTAATTGTAGATTTGTTTATTTTTCCTTTTAGCTGTATCAGTCTTTGCTTTTTATCTTGAAGCTGTGTTATTAGGAGCATACAGTTTTAGGACGGTTATACCTTTATTAAACCGACCCTTTTCCCTGTGAAACGTCTCTTTTTATCTTTGGAAATGCTTCTGTCCTTAAAGTTGGCCTTGTCTGATAGAGTGTGACTAACCTGGCTTTGTTTTGGATTTGTATTTACACAGTTACAGGGTTTTCGTCTTTTCTTTATGATCTTTCTCTGCCTTTATGTTTACAGTGGGCCTTAGATAACGGCATACAGTTGGCTTTTGTTTTGTTTTGTTTTTGTACAGTTTGTTAATGGGAATATTTAAGACTCTTTAGAATGAATGTAATTACTGATTTTGGGGGGATTAAAGCTTCTGTCTTACTCTGTTTTTTACTTGTCCCATCTGTTCTTTTTTGTTTGTTTCTTTCTTGCTGACTTCGGATAAATCAAACATTTTAAGTATTCATTTTTTATTTCTCTGTTAGCTGGAGTTGCACATTTCTGTTCTAATGGTTATACAAGGCAGTTTAATATGGATCCTTGGTTTCTTAGAGTTGACTGTAAGTTGTTTTTACCACTTCACAGACAAGGCAAGTATCCCAGGATATTTTGCCTTCATTTACCCTCCTTTGGCCTTTGGTGCTATTGTTTCTGTGTATTTTAATTTTATGTATAAAACATCACGAGTCGTTATTATTGTTTTAAATTGCCAACATTTATTTATATTGATCCTTTGCAGCCTCTTGGTTTTCTGTCACTTGGTCCTGTCTTCTGGTGTGCTTGGTAGTTTGTGGCCATTGTGTTTGAGAAATGGTAGAGGTTCTGGATGATGCTGTCTTCCAGCAGACAGAGGGTGGGCAGAAGGCCTGCGTTCGGTTAAGGGTAGTCTGTTCCTGGTTTGTGTCACTCCTAGGGCACAGCCCTCTCAGGGTCTTGGCTAAACGCCCTTGCCCTCACGTGGCTAAATTCTCTGCTTAGCTTTGATTGGCTTGGTGGCTGCTCTGTATGCCTCTCTGCATAGCTGGCATGTACCTTAGGGGAGAATTGCACTCAGAATATGGGTGCCCTTCTCTGAGAATTGTGGCTGCCCGAGTTCTGGCTGTGAGAGCCCTCACCCCCTCACCCCTCACCCCTGGCACCTGCCCGAGTGTCATGCAAGCTCCAGGCTGCCGTTTTCTTGCCCGGTGCTCAGCACCACAGATCGGGAGGAACCTGACTTCTTGGGGCCTCTGTGCTTACCTCCTTCGTCCAAGGTCTCACCAGCAGTCTGGGTGGCGAAGTTTGTCTGCCAGTGTCTTCAATTGGGCAATTTTAGTGAGTTTTTGGAACTCGTGATGGCAGGAAGAAATTAACCAGCCCACTGCCCAGATGTTTTTCTGTTTGTCAAGTCCCAGAGTTTTAGTCCCTCGGACTCCTTTAGGGGAAAAAAAGTCATTGTTAGAGGGGCCCTTCCTCGGGGCACGTGGGTGACTCAGTTGTTAAGCATCTGCCTTCGGCTCAGGTCGTGATCCTGGGGTCCTGGGATCGAGTCCTGCATCGGACTCCCTGCTCAGCACGGAGCCTGTTTCTCCCTCTGCCTGCTGCTCCCCCTGCTTGTGCTCTCTCTCTCTCTGACAAATAAATAAAATAAAAAATCTTAAAAAAAAAAAAGGGCCCTTCTTCTTCAGTATTATTTTTAAACATTCTTTCTTTAGTTCCAGTGCTTTCATGACTTCATTTTTTCATTTAAATCTTTGATCATCTGTGTTTTATTTCGGGGTAAGAAACAAAGCAGGCTCCATAGCTGGCAGCTCACTGGGGCTCGGTCACCGCCGTGCAGGGTTACCACTCCCACGTATTAGGTCTTGTACGGACTTGGGCCCAGTTTGGGACTTGCCGCCTGTGCCACCGGCCACGCTGCTTGCTGCTGTAGCTCTGGCAGCGCCCCCTGCTCCGTGGTGCATTGCTCTGGAAACTCTTATTTTAATTTGGATCCAACTTTTTTTTAAGTTTATTGATTTATTTTTAGTAATCCCCACATCCAGGGTGGGGCTGGAACTCACAACCCTGAGATCAGGAATTGCACACTTCCTGACTGAGCCAGCCAGGTGCTCGGCTTGGGAAACTTTTTTTTTTTTTAAAGATTTTATTTATTTATTTGACAGAGAAAGACACAGCGAGAGGGGGAACACAAGCAGGGGGATTGGGAGAGGGAGAAGCAGGCTTCCCGCCAAGCAGGGAGCCCGATGCGGGGCTCGATCCCAGGACCCTGGGATCATGACGAGAGCCGAAGGCAGACGCTTTACGACTGAGCCACCCAGGCGCCCCTTGGGAAACATTTTAATTCTGATCCCTCTTCCTCACTTTTATTGATGATGTTTCTGGACATGCTCACCTCTTCATCTTCCATATGAATGTTGAATTAGCTGATCTGACTCATGAAACCAAGTCCAGCTTTTTGTTTTTTTTCAGTCTCATCGGAATTCTTTGAAGCTGTAGCTTAATTTAGGAAGTGTCGTTGTCTGTGCGCTCCGGCGAATCTGTGGTGTGTACTTAGCAGCCTTATGTGCAGTCACGGGTGTGGGGTGCAGCCGCACCTCCCAGGACGCCGGATGGCCGTGGGGCCCACAGCATGCGGGGCCAGCTCACCGTCTCCTGATGCAGCCACGAGAGCTCCTGCTTTTAACTGCTGAGCCTGGTGTGGCTGTGGCTTCACACGTGGGAGCGAACATGCACATTCACACACCTCTGCAGCCACGTACGTGAACGCATGTGGAATCGTGTTAAAGAAGCGTCCGTCTGTGCCTGCGTTACTGTGGTTTCTAAATCCAGAAAGTGCACTGACGTGCATTAGCCATTTGTGAAGATGGTAAAGGTTCTCTCTCTGACCTAGTGCCCTGATGACTTGTGTATCACAAGTTAGTTCTGGAATGGACCGTCTGACTGGGGCAAACTGTTCGTATGTACTGCTGTGCTTTATTTCCAAACATGCAGCTTTAGTGTTTTGAGGAAAATGGATCTTCCAAGGGACAAACTTGGCAATGTGGCTGGAGTTTGGTGTGCACAGACCTTGGGTCTGGAGGGCACCTGCTTGATTCCTTTCTCCCTTCTGTCCCGGGAGCTCTGGCTGCTTCTCCCGCGGAAGGTGTGGACCCAGTGTCAGGCTGGGGTCCGCTCTCCCTGGCCTACCTGATGGCTGGATACAGGCCTAGAGAAGAGCTGGACAGGGGTGTGTGGGTGATGGACGTGTCAGGACTGGGCTGCAGAAAGTCTCAAAAGGAGGAGTGTCCTGAGAAGCATCGTCGTAGGAGGAGCAAGGACTATGGACACACAATGTGCCCTTAGTGAATCGAAAAGGAACTTTCTCTGCCATCATGAGTTCATTCTTGATCTTGAGAATCTGAGACTCTCTCCAGACTGGAGCGAGGTCTGGACTTGGGTGGAGGTGTTGAGAATTGACGCACTGCGGCCTGGAAGCCAGCAGGGGGAGCAGGAGCTGCTGGAGGGGCCCCGAGGAGAGAGCAGGGGCCTGCCCCGGTCACAGGCCGGCGCTGTGCTCCTGGAAGGCCATAAGTCAGTGAATACGTGACACTGAGACTTGGAGCCAGCGAACCGCCCACGGGTCGCCATCTGACCTCCACCAGAGCACGGCTCCCAGGCCTTCCAGCTGGGATCCGTGGGCTGCGGGCGGGTTGCACACCGACCTGGAGACCAGAATCGGGGTGTGTGGCTGCATGGCGGCTGGAGCCCCTGCCTCCATGTGTGTTTCATCAGGAGGAGCAGAATTTGAACCTGTGTGTTGTTCAGACAGGCTTACGTGTAAGCAGTGAAAGTGAATGCTTCCTCCCCCCATAGGTGCTTTTTTTGTTTTTGAGTCGGGGACCTCAACAGATCTGGAGGCTACAGGTCATGGGTTGAGGGGTGCTCTGGGACACCATGGCACGTGGGGCCCCCAGGCCAAACCCCTGGTTTTGCCAAGCTTGGGCTAAGGGTCCAAGTTAGGAGAGAAGCTTTTGTTGTTGTCACTTCTGTTGTCAAGGTTGTTTCTGCTGTTGGTTGGGTTGAGGAAATACAAAATGCAAGGATTTAAAGTGTCCTTCTCAGGGCGCCTGGGTGGCTCAGTCGGTTAAGTGTCTGCCTTCTGCTCAGGTCATGATCCCAGGGTCCTGGGATCGAGCCCCGCATCGGGCTCCCTGCTCAGCGGGGAGCCTGCTTCTCCCTCTCCCTCTGCCCCTCCCCCCGCTCGTGCTCTCCCTCTCTCTCCCTGTCTCTCTCTCAAGTGAATAAATAAAAAATCTTAAAAATAAAAAAATGAACTGTCCTTCTCTTTTAACTTTCAGAAATGACCTCGGTCACTTCTGGACACCATCATTGCCCCACGAATCTTACCTTCCTGGGAAGAAGATGTCATATGCTAATGCTAAGTCTACTCACATTTTTAGGAGAATACTTGGGGGCCGACGTGGTCACAGTCAGGAGCTCTTGATCCCAAGTTGTGTATTGTGGAGTCTGTGGATGCTGCTTTGGCGTCCCAAATCTGTGCACGAACCTTGGGTAGCCCTGTTGCACCTGGCCATGGCAGGTGGGTTTGGGGGGGTCACTGAGAGCCTCCAGGAGTCCACAGGCCCCCCCGACCCATGGCCGACCTCAGAGCTCAGCCTGCCCTTGGCATCTGTGAGCTCCGGAGCAGTGCCGTGTTGCAGAGCGGCGGCGCAGGAATGGACTTGTCCGGGAGGCCTTCCCCGGCTGGCTTGGCCCGCCTCTGTGAGTGCAGGCCGTCCTCTAGCTGTGTTGGACTCAGGAATGGCTCACTGGTTTTTTAAAGTCAACATGCCTTTGAGATAAAGGTTTGAAACCTGGCTGTGAGACTGCAGAGAGGTGAGCAACGGGGTCTCCCTGGCTCTTGGAGCAGGTCGCTTTGTGGGTTGCTCTCCCGCGGACTCTGCAGGACCAGGAGTCACTGCTCCCTGGGGAGGGCCTGGCAGGGCAGTGATCCGCACCAGTGACAGCGCGTGCGTGTCTTCAGGCAGGCGCTGCAGGAGGAGACGGCATTGCCTGACGCGGGGCTGGTCGCCTGAACTGCGGAGGGCTGCGTGTGTGACCAGCTCGCTCACAGCAGGGATGGGGCTGGGGACGAGGAGCCTCGGCCGTCAGCAGCGCGTCCAGCATGGTCACTGGGCAGCCCCGATGGGCGCCCCCCGCTGAAGGGCGCTGAGGAGCCACCTCCTTTGGGGCTTTCTCCCTGTCTGTGCCAGCAGCTCTGGGCGTGTCCCACTCAGTGGGTGACACGGGAGGCAGAGCAACGGCACACTGGGCCCTCTGCATGGCTGTTGGGCGAGGCGTGGGATGCCAAAGTGCCCCCTTAGGGTTAGGCAGCTGCCCTGAGATCCTTGCTCTTCTAGCCAGAGCCGTCAGGGAGCCTGACCTCTGCCGCCACAGGTGCAGGTGGGTCTGGCCCCTGCTCTCCAGGAGGCCTGGTTGGTGGGCTTGGGGGTCTGCTCTCTGCAGGCTGCCCTCACGCTGCCCCCAGCCTGCCCCTCGCCTGCCCCTTCCTCCATGGCCAGCCCAGCTCTAGCAGGTTTGGCTGATGATTCGGTCACGTTCACCAGTGAGGGGCCACCGTCTCCTAGTGGCCAACGCGAGTGGTGGGCAAGGCCAGCAGGACCACGGCCTGAGTGCCCTGTGTTCCCCAGCCCCTCCTGCTGTGCACTGTGCCCACATGCCCCCTCCTCCCCTGTGCAGGGCAGGGGTGCGGCAACTGCCTGACCCCTTTTGCCCTTGGGTCTTTGTCTTGTCCAGGTGGTGCTCTGGGTTGGCCTGGGCATCCTGGTGGTCAGCACACACACTACCCTGTCTGTGAGTGAGGAGGCCCCTGTGGACTTGGCCGAGGAAGCCTTGGCTGGCCGGATTGAAGAGGCCGAGGGCATCATAAAGGCAGAGGCGGCTCGGCTCCCAGGTACGCAACTTCCAGGTATGCACATGGCCCCCCCAGCCCTGCAGCCTTTTCGGGGCGTCCTGCAGTGTCACCTCAGGGGCGTGGCGTGCAAGTGGTAATTCCAGGCTATGTCACCCGCCCTGGTCCTGTTTTGGTGGGAGAGTAGGGCAGGGGGCCTCCAGGGGCCAGGTACAGCCGCCTGCCTGTGGAGGACAGCAGGACGGAGGGCTCAGTGCCCGCCGTTCGGTGCGCTGACAGGTAAGCAAGTGTGTGGGGGGTATTGTCGTTTTTGCTTGCTCTGATTTGGGGATGAAGGTTCAAGCCGGGTTTTGCTTGGACAAGGTCAGCGACGCCCTGTGCCTTTGTTCAATGTCCCCCCTTGCTGTTGGCCCACCAGCCCGTGGGGAGGGCGTGACCCACGCAGCCTTCTGCAGCTACAGGCCTGCCTTGGAGGGCCTGCTGCAGTGTGGCTCTGTGACCCCACCTGTGACCTTGCCTGTCAGGGTGCAGAGTGGTTCGGAGCGTGGCTTTCTGGGCTACAGAAGGGGCTCCATCATGTCCAGAGTTGGTTGGGAGAGAAGAGTTTTCTTGGAGTCCCTGGCCATCCCAGGCATAGGTGGGAGGGGTTAAGGAGGGCTTCCTCCATGCTGGCCCTGCACCCCCTAGCAGCTCTGAGTGGCATCAGGCTTGGGTACTGGGGGGGGGTGTGTGCTCCATTCTGGGGGCTTCTGCTCTGATGATGGCTGGGTTTTAGGCATTCACACTAATAGTGTGTCTATGTGTGTCTGAATCTGCTCCCCTGCCAGTAGACCCCCACTTGGATTGAGATTTGCCAGGCTGCCTGCTTGGCATGCCCTTCTGGGGGAGTCCCCTCGGGGGGGAGCAGTGCTATCCTCCCGTGAGTTTCAGGTGCCTTTTGACGGTGAAGGCTAAGGAGTGCCTGCCCCAGGTGGGAGCCCCGGTCTCCTGGCCTACCATGATCGACAAAAGAAAACGTCCCAAAAGGCTGGCAAGAGAGTTGCACATGCCCTGGGTCCTTGCTGCCCGGGCCTGCCGGCAGTGGAAGGCACATGGCCCTTAGATTTGTTACTGTCTCTGTCCCTGGGCTTGGAAAGCCTGGCATCCATGCCCCCCACAACCTCCCCTGTGGGAGAACAGTCTCTCCTGGGGCTTGGAGGAGCGGGCCGTGCTCTCTTTAGCCTTCTTGGGATGACAAGGGCTGGCAGAAAGATTCCCCTTTTGGGGTCCCTGGAGAGAGGGCCCCGGGGAATGGCGGGGTTCCCCAGAGAAACAAATCAGAGGGGTCAGAAGCCACCTTAGTGTCCCACGCTGGGCTTGGCAGTTTGGATGGAGAAAGTCCACTTGAAGAGGGAAGCGGGTGGCCTGCACCTGCCCCTCTGACGGCCCTACTGGGTCCTTCACGGTCAAGCGTCTTGGCCTTGTGTGCCTTGGGGATGGCCGTGGCCGAGCTGGACTTGGGCACCGGTGACCCTGTCTCAGCTGGCTGTGGATTTTCTGGCATTAGTCGGCACCGGGCTGACTGTCCCCATGTCACTGCGCGGCTGCGGTCCATGGCCTGTGCCGACAGCTGCATCCTGTGGTGGAGACGGGCTGTGGGCTCACCTGGCGCCTGCCGAGGCCACATCTGGTTTCCATTGCTTCCACGAGCCTGTAACAAAACACATGGCCCCCTCAGAACCACATGCCGTTTGTTTTTAGCGCGTTCTCCATTTTTCTCGCCCCTGGCCTCCCCCATAATTGATGGGTTGCCTCGTTGAAGCAGAGCTGGGACCGAGGGGGCCCGCACCGTGTACGCACCCTGTCGGACTTCTGCCCGTCAGCCTGGAGTGGGGTTTTATTGGTCTCTTTGATATTGCAGAGGCCAGAACGGTGCTGGCTTTCCTTAGAGCCCCAAGCTGGCCCGGGGACAGATGATGGCGGTCCTGCCCTGCTGGGGACACGTGGGACTGCGACCCGTGGCCCGGCACTCTTGGAGAGCAGAGCCCAGGATGCGCACTGGTGTGGTGAGCAGTAAGTGTGGAGGAAAGAGGTTGCTGGGCTCTGCAAGGCAATTATCTGTTAAAAAGGCTAATTAGGCCATTTATCTCCTATCTGATAGCGGCCCAGCGGGTCTGGCAGGTCAGGTTGGATTCTGTGACATGTATAGCTCCCTCCTCTGAATGCAGCCACGTCCCCTCCCAGCGTCCCCCCCCCATGTTCTCATCCCCTGGTGCACGCGCCCCCCCCACTGCCACCCTGCAGGGGCGCTGCTGCTGCTCTGTGGGGAGAAACACCAAGGGCCGGGACGGGGGCTCTGGTGTCAGGCCGGGCAGCAGGCTAAAGGCTGGGGGGCAGCACGGCCATGACTGTGGACGCAGGTGGCAGGGGCTGACCACAGGCCCGCGTGGGAGCTCGCCATAGGGCGGGGATCTCTCCCCGGGGACTCAACCCTGCACGCGGGCAGGAGTGCATGCACTCTCTGAGACAGATGCCGGGGGGTGTGTGAGGGACACCTGGCTCCACGTGCGTCTGCTTGCTCTTCTTGGCTGGGGCAGCCCTCCCGATCCCTGATGAGAGGGGCTTTCATCGGCCACCATGCTATGGCCCCTGCCCCCGCCGCCCGTGTGTCACTTGTGCCCTCCGGGGTGACTTCGCCAGCCCAGCCACACCGCATCCAGAGGGGCCCCTGGGGCAGGGAGGGCGCTGCCTCCCGTGTGCAGCCCTGAGTGACCCGTACCTGCCCTCGGAGGCCCTCGGGGAGCAGCTTACCCACCTCCGCCCGCTGCCCGTGGGTAGACCTGCCTGCTCTAGGGGACCACGAGAGTGAGGCTCGGGCCACTGTGGCCCCTTGATCGGGACGCTCGGGTCCGAGGAGCCATGGCGACCCCTGCACGCTTGGAAGGATGAGAGAATGCAGAGGTCAAGACTACCCCTGCCAGCCAAGAAGAGTGGGCCTCAGAAATCAGCGCTCCCCAGCCCGCTCTCACCGCCACCTCGAGCGGCGCCGGAAGCCGGTCGTCAGGAAGGTCACCTAAACCCGGGGCCTAGCTCTCGGCTCTTCTTGCCTTACGCGTGCGTGGCCCTGGGGTCCTACATGTCTCCTGAATCGGGGTCCCCTCCGAGTGACAGGGACTCCATCTGTGGGCTCAGGTGTGATTGGAGCGGTCCCTTTGTTTTGGTGCTTGCTTTCTGAGGTGATTGCCTTCCATCTTAACTGACCCCTGGGTCCTCAGAGAGAGGCTGGTCGATGCCGGCCACCAGCAGCGGTCACCCCCAGCCCAGGTCCTCGAGTGCAGACTTCCTTGGTGCTGTGGGCAGGCCTGCCCTAGAGGTTGTGCCCCCCCACACTGCTTCCCCGATTCCAAAGACAGCCCAGAGCGCAGTTTCCGTCCATCGGCCTGTCTCGGGGGGCTCCCAGCCTGAAGCACCATCAGGAGGACAAGCAGGTCCCTTGTCACCATGTGGCGCAGTTCTGCTGAAAGCCAGGCCACCCTGGGCAGTGTGGGGTCTGTCACCGCTCAGCAGAACGAGGCATGGACACGGGATTGTCCCGGGCCTGTCCCGGGTCATCAGTGATTGCTGGGACCCAGTGACGACCCTGAGGGCGACTGAGGTGGCCGTTGACTGCTGGGGACGCCGAGGTGCCCGTCTGCTCGTGGGGCCACGTGCTGTGTGCGCAAGCGTGGGCCGCTCTTTAGTCACTCGTTCTGGGGGTTTAAGTTTGTCTCGCTGTGCCGGGAGGCGTCGCTGGCTGTCTGCTAGGGAGAGCCCGGCTCCAGCTGAGGGCATGTGGGTCGTTGCCGTGGATAGTGATGCTGGAGGCCAGGGCCAGCGGCTGGGGGGGGGGCAGGAGTCCCAAGGCACCTCGGCTTTGTGTGCAGCCGGGTGTCCCTGCAGCAGTGTCCGAGGGCCCTTGCAGCGGACTCCGTGCTGTTCCTCTTCCCTGGCGTCTGGCTGCCCGCCGGGGCGCCCCTCAGCCCAGCCCACCAGGCCGCCCCTGCTCTCCCCCATTTGCCTTGGTCCCTGCTGAGACAGGACCATGTACAGGCGACTTGGTCCCATGATAGCTCGGCAGTTTTCTTTGTTTTCTTGTGTTTTTCCTTCCCCTTCTGGCCGTTTTTTCTTTTTTTTTTAAAGATTTTATTTATTTGGGAGAGAGCACACACAAGCAGGGGGAGTGGCAGGGAGAGGGAGAAGCAGGCTCCCCACGGAGCAGGGAGCCCGATGCGGGGCTCCATCCCAGGACCCTGGTACCATGACCTGAGCCGAAGGCAGACGCTTAACTGACTGAGCCACCCAGGCATCCCTTCCAACCCTTTTTCTTAACTTTGTGATCCACTGGAGAGACACCTTGATTTAGGGTGATTCTTATTTGAGCACCGGGCCTCTGGGAAGGGGTTAATTGTGTGATGGAGACCAGGACATTTTCACCTGCTCGGGTGACGCTCACACACTTACTGTTACCAGCCACTTGGTTCAACTATAGAGTCCAGAGTCTGCTTCCTGCTGGCTCGCCCCCGCCACCTGGCAGGGCCCCATCTCTGCACCCGTCCGGTGAGGGTGCTGTCCCCAGCTGCTGTCTGGCACCCACATGAGTGGGGGCACCGCCCCAGGCTCGCAGGTCCAGTCGACCTGGGTAATTTCCTCTCCTTGGGGACCGGCAGGGCCCTGTCCAAACAGGACCACTGTGACACCCCCCCCCCCCCCCCGCAGGCTCAGGCCAGCAGCACTGCTGCCCACAGAGGACGTTAGTCTCCCCTTCTCTGGGCAGCTCGTGTCCAGGGGAATAGAAGGTGCTTCTGGCCTCTGGGGTAAAATGACAGGTTTTTAAAGTTTCTTTTCCCAAGATGTTTAGTTTCTGCCACATTTGTCAACTCTTTAATGGAGACGGTTTCCTAACAGGCGGGGGCGGGGGAGGCCCCGCTTCGCAGGCTCTAGGTGTGGCTCTCGTCTGGCCGCCGGCGGTAAGGTGCCCACAGAGTCACAGGTCGCTTTTCCCCCAGCATTCTCCTCGAGCACCTCTCAGCGCCACCCCCATCCCGGCTTGTAGCAGGGGGTTGAGTTGTGGCAGGTGGTTGTCCTGGAGAAGGGGGAACCCTGGGCAGATGCGGCCCTGCTGCCGCCCCCATCCTGCTGCAAACTGCGGGTTCGTGCCGCCATCTGGTGGTGACGGCCAGTATTGCGTGGAGCCTGGCTCCTCTGCGCCCAGTTAGGCGTAAATTGCATTTTGACATATTTTTGTTATGAATACACATGAAAAATGACAGTTTTTGGTGCTACTTAGCTGCTAATGGTTGAACAGGAAAAAAATAACTGCTTAGGCTCTGCTATTTGACTAGGAAATGTGATTACAATCTGGGGAAAACCACCCAGTCCCTGTGCTGACGGGCGGTGTAGCCATGTGGAAACACTGCTCAATTAGCTGTGTCGTGCTTGCAGGCCAGAATCCAATTGTGGACGTGGCCGAGGACGGCCGAGACAAGCCGAAGCTGCCACATGAGAAAGATGACATGGAGCAGGCCCAGATTAAGGGCCCCGTGGACGTGCCCCAGAGGGAAGGCGCCAGAGAGAAAGAGGAGGCACAGCTGGACCGGCCCGGCCAAGGTGGGGTGGTGCGGCGGGAGGGCAGGGCAGGGGCCTGCCTAGGTCCTGGTCCTTGCTGCCGCCTTCCTTCTGTGGCTCAGATGCACGTTCTCCCGCCGGCCCCCCCCCAGCTGGCTTGCAGCTGCCCCTTTTGTAGTTCTCTAGCAGTAGCCTCCGTGCTCAGGCAAAAGTCCAATCTGTGAGACGTGGCCCTTGCCAGCCTGGGTCACGCCGCTGGGCACTGCGACTGCGTTCTTACTCCTGGGAAGGAGGGCCAGGCCACCCTCTCCTGCCTGCTCCCTGACTCGTCTGTCTCCTTCCAGGTATGGCAGTACCTATGGGCGAGGCCCACCGCCACGAGCCCCCTGTCCCTCATGACAAGGTGGTGGTGGACGAAGGTCAAGACCAAGAAGAGTCAGAGGAGAATGAACATCCGTCCAAGCATGTGGATGAAAAGGCTCTGGTGGGCAAGGCTCAGATGGCACCGCCTCTGCCAGATTCAGAAAGAGAGAGACCCAGACAGGACCAGGTCTTGGAGGCAGCAGGTGGTCTCCCTGAAGATCCCCAGAAGGTTCCAGAAGAAAATGGTCAGCCAGCCATTGAGCCCATGAAGGAGGACCAGGGGCTAGGTGACAGGGGTCTGCAGCCAGGACCCCAGGCAGTGCCACCCGAGGGGCAGGACGCCCTGGCAGCTGGTGCAGGGGAGAGAGCAGGTGGGGTCCCGATGCCGGGCTGGGCCACAGGGGCCGTGGGCAAGTGGGCAGAGAAGAGTGAGCCCGGTGGGTGTCAGCTGTGCCTGTCCTGGCAAACTCCTCTCCATGAGACGTTCCTCCGGTGGGGGGCCCGGGAGAGGCCGGGAGGGGCAGTGAGAATTGATTACTCCTCCTTCTGCCCCCGTTCCCCTTCGGCTCCCAAGATCAGCACGTGACAGCGTGAGAGCCGCGGCCCCGTCCGCAGCTGCTGGGGAAGCCGGGCGCCCGGTGATGAGACACTTCCGTGGTATCTGTCACACAGTCGCTGGCTGGACTGCTAAGTGTCAGGTGCCGCGCTGTTCCTGTGCGTCTGGGCACTCGCGGGGGACGCACGGGGAGCGCCTGACAGGTACCACGTTGTTAAGTGCCGCCTCGGCGCTGGTTAGGATGGTTCTCACATGTTAATTGGTGCAGGTAGTTAGCGCTGGCTCGCTGCCATGAGCCCGTGAGATTGTTAAATATGTTTTTATTACTTCCCTGGTAATCATCAGGTTGGATATAAACTGCTGACGGGGGCGACGAGGAGGCTAGTTTTAGGAAGCCTCTTCCGCCCTCTGCCCCCGCCTCCCCCGCTCCCGGAGTTCTTTGCGAACCTCTTGAATCTGTGTGTGTGCAGGTGGGAAGGCTCCCCTCCTGGTGAAGCCGGCCCCCGAGGTCGGGCCGCAGGTGGAGCCGCGAGAGCAGAGGAATGCGGAGGCCCGGGGCGGAGGCCACACTGGCAGCAAGCTAGAGGGTAAGGCCTTCGCTTTCTTGCTGCGTCGTCCCTGGGGCCCGGAGCCATCTGCCCCTTCCTTCCAGACCCACAGCGATGACAGGGAAGGAGCCCCCTGCCTCTGGGCTTCCCCCCCAGGCAGCTTTCTCTGTTGTCCTGTCACGTGGTTCTCCGTTCGTGTCTCTGACGCTCTCAGGGCAGCCATGTCACTGTTCCTAACACGAGCGCTGTTCAGCCCCTCCAGGCTGGGGGGCTTCGTGCCCCCAGACACTGCTGCTTTTGAGGAGGTGCCTTCCCAGCCGCCCAGGTGGGAGGGCAGGTGGCTGTTGCTGCCCACCTCAGCTCAGCCCCTGGGGGGACGTTTGTCTGCAGTGAAGACCCAGCACCTGTCCCGAAACCAGCGGTTAATCCTCCTTCAGACCTTCATGCCTCTTTTGGGGTGACCCCCTCCTCGTGGCCAAAGTCTCCCTGTCAGGCGCTGCCTCTGTAGTGCGGGTGGTGACAGCTTTCCTGGCTGGTGATCGCCTCATTTCATCGGTGACCCAGGAGCCCCTGCACACCTGTCCCCCGTTAGAACCCCTCTCCACCCCATCCCTACCCGCTGGCATTGCCGGGTCTGTCCGTAGAGCGGCCCCGGGGTCCGGGCATGCAGATCTCAGTGGAGCAGCCCTGGAGGCCGCTGCGAGAGGCACATGCCCCGCGGCAGCCCCCAGCTGCCTCCCAGCGGGTCCTGCAGGGACAGCCCACCCGCAGCACTGGGCTTGGGGCTGCCCGCTGAGCCCGTGGGCAGCCAGAGGCCCGAGCCAGGAGGCCCTGGAAGTTTTCTGGAATTTGGGGGCTGTTCCAGGGGCTTCGTGTGTGGTGTTTCCTGTCTCGTCTGTCTCTCTGCGTTCACTGATTCCAGCACTTATACTCTGTTACCTAAATCTATTTGACTCTTTCGATTTTTTTCTTTCTGGAAAGACAATTTTCACGGTTTTCTACTCTGCCTTTCTTCCGTACGCTTCTCAATGGGATGAGCAGCTGAAATCAAAAAGATAGTAGCAGGTATGGCTCCGGAGGAGCGTGCCCCCCTAGAAGGCCTGCTTGGGGGGTCTAAGGTGCGGGAACAGAGAAGGTGCAGGCCTGCCGTCCACACGGCCTCGCCTGGAGCCACCCACATAGCCTGCCCCCTGGGCTTGGCTCCAGCCCCTCAGTTGGGGTCCCCCTTTCCACACATGCCCTGGTCCTGGAGGACGGTGGGTGCCGTCTATGCCCTGGCTGCTTCCGGCCTCCCCTAGAGGATGGGGGCCCACGTGGGACTTCCGCCATGTGCATGGCCCAGTATTCATGTGCTCTGCATGTGTGTTAACATCCCATCTGTGGCCCTGGTGGGCCGGGCTCTGCCCGTGGGCACAGCTTGTCACCACTCTGGTCCACATCTGCCCCCTGCGTCGCTTCTGGCTGGACATGACGTGACCCCACTTCCCCTCCTCCTCCAGCATTGGTCTCGGGCTGAGCCCCCAAGGGGCCAGGCAGGCTGGGGCCCGCTCGTCCAGCACCTGCTCCAGGGACAGGCAGTTTTGGCAGCTCGTGGGGCTGTCCTTGTACTGTTGACCGTTACGTGGCCATGAGCCATGGGTACCCAGGGTGAGAGTGAGCCTCATGGCTGAGGTGGCTGCTCTGGAGCCCTGGGGGGACGGTGCAGTATACTTCCCTCATACGGAGCCCGATCTGGTCCACAGGGTGTGGCCTTTCTCAGGCAGGCATCTTTGTGACCTTAGGGTGTCTGGATGAGAGCCGGGTGGGGAGCCGGGACTGCTGCACAGGGGCCTGTCCTCCTTGCTGTCTGGCTCAGCATATTCTTCACGGGCTTCTGGGTGGGGAGAGGCAGCGAGGGCCAACCCCGTGCTACCGTGGCCAGTCACGGGTCACCATTGGGGAGGACGGGCCAGCACGTCTGTGTGTGCCCAGCATGTGGGGCCTCGCCAGGGTGTGTGCTGTCACCACTCCCAGAACATCCTTCCTTCTGAATGTGCCCACCCACCAGCCTTAACCGCGCACGTCATCTTTCATAGCTCCCTGTTTAAAGACCTGCGTGTTGTAGCAGTCACAGAAGCCGTGGCTGCTCGCGGGAAGTAACTGACCCGGTGCTGAGGCGTTTGTAGTGAAAGGCGAGCTCCTCGTGCTCCCACAGGTGGCCGCTGCCAGCTCTGGGCACTCAGACTCGGGGCCTCCTCCTGGGTCCACATTCTGGGTGGGGGTGCGGAGAGAGCAGAGCGGGCCCCTGACACACACCTGCTGCGCTGCCCCCCCGCCCCATGCCAGCCCGTGGCCAGTCTCTTGGGCAGTGGTCAGGAGCAGTGTCAGGACTCTCGGGTGTCAGCAGCTGGCCTCTGCCTCCCTGAGGCCCAGTTCTGGTCTCTGCTGGAGAGGAAGGCAGTTGTGTTTGTTCCTTAAATTCTCACCATGGAGGAAGCTTTCTCGGAGCACAGGGATTCTGTTTTTAGGGTAGTTTGTAGCTTACACCACCCAGCCCGGGACACCGCCGCCATTCCCATGGTGGCCCAGACCTCCCCTGTGGCTTCTCTCAGCATTTCTTCCTAGCCGGCCTCCGTCTGAGCAGCTGGGCCCCCGCTGGGCGTGTCTACACCACAGGCCCACATGAGCCAGTGCCAGCGAAGTGTGTCCCGGGGAGGGTCCCCACAGGCGACCTGGTGCTGTCACTGCGTGTCACACCGCCCTCCGCCCAGCCCAGCGCCTGTGTGGACGGGGCAGGCTCTGACTGTGTTTTCCCCACGCCAGAAGCCGGCCGGGCGGAGATGCTGGACCACGCGGTCCTGTTGCAGGTGATCAAAGAGCAGCAGGTGCAGCAGAAGCGGCTCCTGGACCAGCAGGAGAAGCTGCTCGCGGTGATTGAGGAGCAGCACAAGGAGATCCACCAGCAGAGGCAGGACAGTGAGGAGGGCAAGTCGGGGCCAGGTTGGGGAAGGGGGGCGTCACTGAATGCGTGCCTGCCTGCCGTGTCTCCTGGTGACCCCGTGTGGCTGGATCTGTGGCTCCGGGGCCTGGAGTCCTGCTGGGCAAAGTTTTGATTCGTGTTCAGTTGCTGGCAGGCTCACCTTTCTAGTCTCTGTGTTGATAGCTTCAGTTCATTTCTGTGGCTAACCTGGTGATTTACTTCATTTGTAGCTGAAGTGCAGCCAGAGCCTGGGGTGGCCGTGCCCAGAGGTAAGGAGCAGGAGGCCCACGATGGGGGGACAGTGGAGCATCACCCCCAGCAGCCTTTGGAACCTGCACTCAGAGCTCCCGGGCGGCCCCCCGCTCTGCCCCAGGGACATGGCCAGCGTGCCGTGGAGGAGCCCGAGGGGGCTGCGGGCGGAGCTCCAGCCGTTCCTCCTGGCGCCGCCGACCCGGAGCCCCGGGCGGCCCGGGCTGAGCCGAGGGAAGGCTGGCAGGGCGCGGTGCCCCCAGCTGCCGCTGGCCTGCCGGAGCAAGTACCTGTGCCCGGCCTTGCCGAGGGGCCCAGGAGCCCAGAGAAGCTTGTTATCGGTGAACTCCCCGAGCAGGGTCAGGATGCTTTTGGCAGAAGCTCCCATGAAAGGAAGAAATCCCGAAAAGAGGTGGCCACCGGTGCCAGCGTTCAGGAGGCAGATGTGCCGGGGGCGAGGGAGGTTGGGGACCCTCACGTGAGGTCCCAGCCAGTGAGCCGAGACCGGGGAACTGCAGGCCTGTCCAGCAGGTTGGGAGGAGCCGCCCCTGGGGCCCAGGTGGAGATTCATCAGCTGGAACACCGGGCCGTTTCTGCTGGGGGTCAGGGTGGGCAGCAGGGTGGTCACCTGGAGGCCAGAAAGGAGGCCATCGGCGAGGACCATGTGCCTGCTCTGGGGGAGGATGCTGCCGTCCAAGAGCCGGAACGGAGGCAGGACCCTGATCTGGGGCCCAAACCAGCCATCCCTGGGGCTCAGAAGCAAGACCATGCCAAATCCAACCGAGAACTCAAAGTCCAGGCCGGTTCTGACCTTAGGAGGAGACGGCGGGATGTGGCTCCTGGGGCAGCGGGGGACCCGGCCCCAAGGGACAGGGTCATCATCAGCTTTAACCCTCTCCCGGATGTGCAGGTCAATGACCTCCGCAGCGCGCTGGAGACCCAGCTCCACCAGGCTGCGGGGGGCGCGTTGAGGGTGGTCCATGGCCGCCAGGTGAAGCAGCTGGCCGGGGCCCCGGAGGAGCCCTGAGCAGCCCCTAGTGGCCACAGTCCTCCTGGTCGGCGGGTCTCAGCCAGCCACGCCGGGGCCACGTGGGCGTGGAGTTAGAGGTCACGCCGTGGCTGGGGGTCTGAAAGGCCTCTCACCATGGCCTCGCTGTCCAGATGGCCTGTGCCTTCTCCATCCCGCGTCTTAAACCTGTCCGAGTGACTGAGCTCACCAGGACTCAGACGAGGCAGCGTCCGGTTGGGCCTCGGGAGCGGCGGCCGCGGAGTGTGGCCCCGATGCTGACGCGGGCTGCCGAGAGAGCCCACCGCGTGCCGGACTCCCGCTTGCTCTAAATGGTCGTCGTGACTGTGATGTTTCAGGCATCATGGAGAATCGTGATGAACTCTGCCTCCACGCGGCTGCTCAGTGGACGTGGCTGCTCGGTGGACGCGGCTTGGTGTCTGTGGGGCCGGGGCTATGGGCGTCTCGGGGGTCAGAAAGCTGCCTGAGTGCGTGCTCGCCTCTGCCCTTGTCACAGTTCCTGTGCTCTCTGCGCTCCCTCCGCTTTCCCAAACTATAAAGTTATTTTACAAATAAGTGTCACGATGTCTGGTCCATGCAGCTAGCGTGGCGCCATGCCGGCCATCGTGAAAGGACATCTGCTGACCAGACCTCGCAGTGGTGTGGAAGCCCGACGCAGTGCGGCCCCAGAAAGACCCCATGAGCAGCCGGGTGGCGTTTGCGGTGTTCCTGTTTTCAGGGAGCAGGAGAGCCGATGGTCACTCCCTGGTGCCCAAGGCCTGTGGGCAGGTGTGACCATGCTGGGCTTTCCATGTGCAAGGTGCAGCGCCAGCCCTGCCCAGCGCCCCAAGGGCGGGTGTGCTCTGGAACCTGCTGCCAGGGGCCCCGGGTGCGGCTGCTGGTGGGCCGCTGGCCAGAGGTGCCTGGGCACGTGAAGGACCACAGCTGCATGGCAGCTCCAGCTGCGGCTTCTGGCCTTGACTTCCCCTGGGCCTTCGAAATGACATTTATTGTAGTTCCGGCATTCTTGGACAGCCTGACGACTAGAAATGAGTCATACAAGGCTGAGCCAGTTCCTCCTGACCCAGGGGCTGGCGCTGGGGGGTTACGAGTGGGCAGGGCACTGGTCCTGCAGCGGCAAGCCCCCGAGGAAGGGGGGTGGGTCCTGGGGTGCTTCCTGTGCTCAAGTAAGAACAATTCCAGACAAATCATGCTCAGTGGGAAAACGCCTTCTGGATGTTTCCCTAAGATCGGAATTCCATTTGTAAATACATTTTTAGAGTGGGATTCTATTTCTGGATCTCATTTACCTGGATGTCTTCCCTTGACCCGAGCTTCTTGTCTTGCGGAGGTCAGGCCATCCTCCTGCAATCTGCAAGGTCACGTGCTTCTCACAGCGGAGGACCCAGCCCCGGCTCCCCCAGACCCTTGGGGTCCTTGTCCCAGTTCCCTCTCCCGGCCTCCCCAGCCCGCAGCCCCTCAGGGAAGAACCCGAGACCTCTGTGTGGGGTCAGCTTGCCAGAACCACAGGGAGCTGGAGGGGCTGGGGGCCATTGTTTGCTTTCTGACCAGACTGCCGGCGCCAAGACGGCAGGTGCAGTGAGCGGTCCAAGTGGAGCAGCAGCAAGTACAGCCATCAGTGGGCGGCTGGCGTAGGATCTTGTTGGCGAGGGCACCCGTTCTAGGGCAGGGCTGGCAAGCCCAGATAGGGGCAGGTAGGAGTGAGGATGGAAACCCGGTGGAGCCAGGCCCTCAGGGTTCAGATGCTGCCTGAGGACTAAGGTGACAGTACAGGGCACACAAGAGTGGTGTGCGATGATGCAGCTGCAGGAATGGCTGCATTCAGACACCCATTTGGTGGCATTTCCCTCAATAAACGTGGTCTTGAAGATGGCTTGAGTCTGGGGAAGCCAGAGAGCAAGGACAAAGGCCAAGGAACTTGGGAGTTTGGTGTGTGGCCCGAGGGAGGGACACAGGCTGGTGAAGAGTTGGGAGACGTGGAGGCAGGAGGGCACCTGGTGGGGACGGTTCTGGAGGAGCCTGGAGCCATTGTACCCAGCAGAGACCTGCAAGCGTCCCGTAAGAGGCTGCCGAAGGTCAGAGTGGAAGGTGTGAGGGTCTGGAGAAGCCCACCCTGGAGGCTGGGTGAGGGAGGAGCATGGAGGTGAGGAGTGCTCAGCTCCCAGGCCCGCCCCTTCCTGCTCCGGCCCTTGTGTGTGGGATCAGGGTGCAGACCGCCCCCATCAGTGTGGATGCTGGACCAGGAGCCCAAGGGCAGGGTGACCTCCATGTTTCTGGGCGGGGCTCCTGGAGCACAGTCCCCAGGCGTCCAGCAGGCGGCGCTCAGGACGTCTAGAATCCTTGGGCCCCGCGTGTTGGGTATGTGTATGTATGCGTGCGTGTGCAAAAATGCCGCATCCGATTTCCTTCTCAGGTCGAAGGGATTCGGGTGGGGTACAGGGAAAGTCAGGAGGGACTGGGCTCTGACCCGAGGGGGTGCAGAGGAGCAAGTGCCCCACACGGTGTCACTGATGCTGGGCTCCTAAGCCAGACCCTCCCTTGGCTGGCTGGAGCCTCTAAAAGGGCAGCCCCCTCTTTTGCCTCCCAAGTTCAGAAAAACCACTTGAGTTGGTTTCCCTACCCGTGGCTCTTTTGCTCATGGCACAGTTGTATTTTTATTTTCTGGTACGTCCTGTAAACGAGTAGCTACGTCTGCTGGCTCTGTTAAGTTCAGATAAGGTATTGTTTGTTTTTAAAGATTTTATTTATTTGAGAGAGAATGAGAGACAGAGAGCATGAGAGGGAAGAGGGTCAGAGGGAGAAGCAGACTCCCCGCTAAGCAGGGAGCCCGATGCGGGACTCGATCCCCGGACTCCAGGATCATGACCTGAGCCGAAGGCGGTCGCCCAACCAACTGAGCCACCCAGGCGCCCCAGATAAGGTATTTTGAATAAAAATTCCTTAAAAAGTGAGAACACTGAGCAGTGTGTTCCCACGGCCCAGGTGCACTCTGCATACAACAGAACAGAGCTCTTGTGTGGTCTGCCACCGTCTTTATTGTTGCTTCATTGTGTCTCACTCTAACCCAAATCCTCAGGCACACGATGTAGGAAAACCAACTCGCCCTCTGCCCGCAACTCGCCCTGATGCACCCGCAGTCCTTTCAGTTCTACAGGCTTCAGATGTTTTTGACGCTTGCCCTTTGGGGCCGTCAGCACCAGGCGTCTGGCTCTGCTCCCTGGGGCAGTAAACAGAAGTGCATTGCTGGCTCATCCATCCTAAAGGCTTCCCCTCAGGGTCTTCTTGGCCTGGAAGATAAAGGATTTGGTGTGAAGAGGTTAGTTAGACGACACTGCAGAGCAAGAAAACCCCCCCACGAAATGCTCTCTGACGGCAAATACCTTACGGAGAACCTGGCCCTGGATGCCAGCGGCATGGATGCGCGGCAAGGGGCGTGGCCGCTCGGAGCTGCCACAGGCCAGGGGGCTCTATCTGCTCCGTGGCAGTGTGCCCCCAAAGCCACGCCCCCCTGGACCAGGCACTGTGCAGACAAACCCCCAGCACACCGCGCTCCGTGCTCGTGAGGCAGCAGGAGCTTCTTACAGAGAACGCTGCTGCAGCAAAGCACTGAACACCTGCCCAGAGACAGGGCTCCTGGGACGGAGCTGGATGGGAGCCCACTGCCCTTTCTGCCTCCTCACGTGGCTCCCCACCAAGTGCTGTGGACTACAGCAGAATGGGAAACACGTGCTCCCGTGTCTGTCCTTGTGGTGAGAAACACTTGAGCACCTGGTCCCCGGGCCCACAGTTAAGTCATCTTCCGTGACCATAGCACGCGGAACAGCTCCTGAGCGTGGAGCCCACACCGCGGGGACATCCTTATGTAATCACTGCAAAAGCAAGTAAAAATGCCTGTAACAGAGTAACTCCTAACCACAAAAGGTGGTATGGAGAGACCTGTAACTAACATGTAAACCCTTCCAAGCAGTAACCCCTCCTCCTTTGGCAGTACAACAAGGAAGCTGCCGAGCGGACAGGTGCGGACCTGGAAAAACAGCCCACGTCAGATCTAAGGCTGGTGACGGGGGCTGACTGGGGGTGGGGGCAGGACGAGGCCTGAGTGTCTGCTGTCATAATCAGGAGGAGGCGGAGGAGATGTCTGCGCCCTCGGGCTTCGAAGGGCGCGTGTGCACTGTCCTCTCCCTGGAGAAGGGCTAAGCCACAGCCAACCACTCTGCTCAGGACGATCTCGGAAGGTCAGGAAATGGCCTCAGGCTCCCTGATTTCTGCCGAGCTCACCCAGCTGCCCAGTCTGCGGTCTGGTTCTCTGCACCAGCAGCTCCGGGGGACACAGCTGATCACGGACCAAGCCAGACCCACCGGATGGGGCGCCAGCCCAGGACCGCATCGCAGGCAGCCCCCTGCTCACGCCGTCTGGGCCTCCCACCTAGGTTCGGAAAGTCCGCATCTCCACCAACCCTCCTTGCTCCACACCCTTTGTGAAAACGCGTAAACACAACTCTTCACTTCGAGGCTGGCGATCGTCACACCTTTCACGGGCTTAGCAGCCGATCCAACAGGGCTCAGAAGACGCCTCCGAAACAGAAGGGACGCGCTGTCTAGCGGTGAGAGTCCAAAACCAAGAGACCCGGCCCACCGTTCCCACCACGGCCCACTTCGGGGCCGGTGAGGACCGACAGGCCCAGGACAGCGGCCTGCTGCTTCCCCCCGGCCCTCGGGGCGGTCGGGGTGCCCCTCAGTGCGCGCTGGCCGGCCCGGGGTTGTCACCGCGCGCACAGCACACCCGCGGGGCCCTGGTCACCCGGATCACCCGGGAAGCTAAGACCGCAGGCGCCGAGGCGCCCGGGGTTCGTCCGACGCCACGGCCCCGGCCCCGGCCCCCCACGGAGTCACCGGCGCTTCCGCGCGCCGCCGCCGCCGCCCGCATCCTCGCGGGGGGCTGGCGTTCCCCTCCCCGGACGCACGCGCTCCGCGGCGGCACCGAACGCACGGCAGAAGGGCAGGTGGGCTGGCAAAGGGGAGAGGCCCCGGGCGGCGCCCACCTACCGCGGCGGCGAAGCAGCTCCGCAGGGCCTCGAACTCCCGCGCACAGAGGTCCTTCACCAGGCGGCCGCCGGGGGCCGTGGACGCCCGCACGCAGCTGCCGTAGGCCGCGGCCTGGGGGCGGGGGCACACGGGCGAGGATCGCAGCGGCCCCCGCCCCGCCCCGCCCCGCCGGTCACCGCCCCGCCGCCCGCGCGGGCCCTTCCTGTCCCGTGGGCAGCGCCCCGCCCGGCGGCTCCTCACCTCTGCCCCACAGGCCGCTAGGCTCTCGGGGAAGGCGCGGAGGCGACCTCGCACGCGCCCCCACACCGCTCCGTTCCCCGACATGAGCAGCCCCTCCGGTCGCCCATCGGCGCCGCCATCTTAGGCCCGTCCTCTTCCGGCGCCCGGGGGGGGCTCGATAGGCGCGCCTTCCGCCCGCCGCTCTCCCTGCACCTCCTGATTGGCCAGTCTTCAGCAGCCCCCCCCAGCACCCGCCCCTCTTCCGGGTCGTCGGCGCCGGGACCCGCCCCACGCGAGCGATTGGCCCTCTGGGCCAGGCGCGCGCGGGGATTGGAGGGGGTCCGGGGCCGGGCCGCAGGCGGGGCCGGGAGGTGACCGGCATCATGGCGTCCACGCCGCCGCTGCGGGACCGTCTGAGCTTCCTGCACCGGGTGAGTGCGGGCGCCCGCTCGGTCCCCGCCGGTGTCTCCTCCCAGGCTCGCCCACCCTGCCGTCCCCACGGACGCGGCGTGGGCGGGTCACGCCAGCCCTGCATCCGACTCTCCTCGGGCAGTGCGGCCCCGGGAACAGAACCCGAACTGGAAAGGCAGCTGGGGGCCCCGGTTTCTGGTTTTTTGCCCAGCCCAAAGCAGCCTGGCAGAAAAACACAGCCGCGGAGAGAGTCCCAGATAGACCCAGCCGGACACCCGGGACGTCCCTAGCCCGGGGGAGAGCCCTGAGCTCGGGTCGCACCTGCGCCAGGAGGACTGAGGGAGGAGTGGGGCTGGGCAGCGCCCGGGCGGCTGTGTGTGGGTCAGGATCCCAGCCCCGCGCCGGCGCGGGGACAGGTCCTGTCCTTCGGAAGCCTTAGCTTCCAGGAACGGCCTTCAGGCCCTTGAGAAAGTCGCTGCTGGCGCGTGGGAGACGCGGGTTCACGATAGCGAGCCTTTTTCAGTAAAGGCTCCAGGAAGCAGAGGTGGGGGCCTGTCGTCGGTGTTGGCCAGGACAGAAGCAGGTTCTGCTGGTGGCTTTGAGCTTTCTCGGGCAGGTGTTCGTGGGGCTGGGCCGTCCTGAAGCAGTCCCCTCAGTTCTGTCAGCGCAGAGCTCCCACTCCGTGCTGGGGGTGTCACGGTCCTACGAGTCTCTGCAGCTCCCCTTTGTGGACAGATAGCGTGAGTAGGGCCCACGCACACAGCGTCACACGATCTCCAGGCACCTGTCCTTGTGACACTGGGCAGCGGCGATTCAAACCGTAGTCCGAGTAAGCACCTCGCAGAGTCCACGCGTTTGTCGTCCTGTGTGTTCCTGAGGTTTTGCGTCCTGCCCCTGTACCGAGGCTCACGCTCCCCCCACCCCACGCAGAACGAGGTGGGAATGGGTGTCTCCATTTTATCCCCGTAATGCTCACTCATCAGGGCTCTCGCTCCTTTTCAGCTCCCGATTCTTCTGAAAGGAACGGCAGATGATGATGTCCCGTGTCCAGGCTACTTGTTTGAGGAGATCGCTAGTATCCTTCCTCGTCACCCACATGCGGGGCCCTGGAGCAGCTCGTCCTGTCTGGAGGCCTCCCACAGTTCCTTTACTCTAGAGACCAAGTGTGGGTGGGTCCAAAAGCCACATTACTGGCGGTATGGGGCCCAGGAGGCCCTGGAAGCCCCAAGCTCTGGAAACCAGGGCCTTGGGTGGGTGTTTTCGGGAGGACTCACGAGACGTCTGGTGGCAGGAAGGCCTGGTTCTCTCCCCCACCAGGCCCTAGTGTGGCCAGGGGTCAGCTCGCTCCTTCCCTAACCCAAGTGTGTGCCAGAAATCTCCCACGAGTCCCTGGGCAGCAGCCAGTGCCTCTTGGAGTACCTTCTGAACCGTCTGCACAGTGGCTCCGGCCGAGTGAAGCTCAAGGTGAGTCCCTGCACAGCCCCCGCAGACCCTTCCCTGAGTCAGGGCCCCAGCTCCGGCCAGTGGCTGGCGAAGCAGGAGGACGCAGCGGGATGTGTGCAGGCTGCTCTCGGGGCCTGTGCCACCCCATGTGACTGTCCCCCAGGTGCTGAAGATCCTGCTCCACCTGTGTGGTCATGGCTCCTCGTCTTCCCTGCTCATCCTCAAACGCAACCCCGCCTTCATCCAGGAAGCTGCAGGTATCAGGCACAGGGGGAGGGCAGCCAGGGTCCCTCAGCCGACCGCCAGAGGCAGCCCCCTGCAGCTCCAGTCTTGTCTCCAGCACCCCACCCCCCAGCCCCCACCTTCTCCTTCTGGCCATCGCTGCGTCCACCGCACGGGGCAAAGTGGCCTGTTTCTGCCTATGTGCCCTGCCAGGCCTTGGCAGCCCAGACCTGTCTGCCCGTTTTAGTACCCGGCACACCACAGGTGCTCAGCAGGCGTCTGCCACCTCCCATGTCACGGTCTCTGTCTCCTCCCCAGGGCTGCTCCTTAGGGCCCGAGACAGGGAGCATTGTGGGCTTCTGCTTCAGAAGGTCTGCAGGAGACCATCAGGAGAGGTGGGGCTCTGGCCTGTCAGGTTCTGACGCCACGTCTCACCCCCACCCCCGCTCAGGCGGGGGGCTGTCACATATCTTTCTTCCTACCTAGGGCTTGGGGGGACGTGGCCTGAGACCTTCTCCTCGGGTAAGGCAGGAGTCCTGGTTGCAGGTGGTCTCGGGGGCATAGCACCCACAGACTCCACTACATGCCCTGAGTGAATCTTTGGAAGGGCTTGGCCTCCAGGCAAGAACCATGCCCACCGAGCTGTCCCTGAGAGGGGAGCACCGGAGAGTTGCTCTTGGCCACCTGGTGCTCAGAGGGGACTCTCATGCAGCACATCCTACCCGCCAGGTGCTAGGATAACACCCCATACCCTGAAATCACTGTCGGCCCTTCACCGAAGGCAGGGCTGAGTGAGGGTAGGCACTCAGGTCCCCGGAGAGCATCACTGCACAAAACCCAGACGCTGCCCCAGGTGTCTCTCGGGGCCTGTGCTTGTCCCAGCGAGCTCCCCAAAACTTGTGCACGGAAACGGCATACTCGTCGATTCTCGCCGGCTGGTGGGTTTCAGCGGTGTCAGCTGTGGCCCATGCAGGTCGTCACTTCCGTCCTCCGCCCCCAGAGCACGGGTGGAGCGGCTTAGGTTGTGGCAGACACTAGTCCTCTGTTGGCAACGAAATCTCTCTCGCCACAGGGCGACTACCAGTTAGCAGTCTCAGTCCGCCATGCCCTGAGCGCCGGCCCCGGGGGACGGTGCCACCGGCCGTGGGGAGGTGGGGCTGTGACAGCAGGAGGCTCTGGGGCAGGAGGGCTTGCAGAGGACTGCCTCGGCTCGCACAGGAGGGGCCGGGTGCCATCCCTTGTCCACTGGTGGTTCAGCTTCCGGCCGTCAGTCCTGGCTGGGCCCGGGGGCCGATGTGTGCACACGCTGGGCCACCTGGCAGGGTGGAGACGGGACGGCACCGGGGGGGGGGGGGGGGACGTGAGGCGCGTTTGTGACAGAGAAGACGGGGAGAGCCTGGCGTCGTTAAATTCTTTTATTTTTATTTTTATTTTTATTTTTTTATTTTTTTAAAGATTTTATTTATTTATTTGAGAGACAGTGAGAGAGAGAGAGCAAGCACATGAGAGGGGGGAGGGTCAGAGGGAGAAGCAGACTCCCTGCTGAGCAGGGAGCCTGATGCGGGACTCGATCCTGGGACTCCAGGATCATGACCTGAGCCGAAGGCAGTTGATTAACCAACTGAGCCACCCAGGTGCCCTGCGTCGTTAAATTCTAAGGAAATTTTATCTGCTCTCACTGACGCCTTGGGAGGCAGAGCTTGAAGGCTGTGTTAAAGAATGGGGGTTTTATTGTTAAGTCCCTGGAAATCTGTAGAGTTTGAATCGGATGAGACTTGGCTCGTGTCCCCTCCGCGTGGACAGTGGGTCAAGGGAGGTACCTAGGCCGCCAGGGCAGGAACTCAGCTGAGAGAGACAGCAGTGGGGTTGGGGAGAGGGGCCCCCTTGTCATGCTCTGCAGGTTGAAACGCGGGCCTGGCTGCTGTGCACATGCGCGAGGGGGCAGTCTGGGGCTGCAGAGGTGCGGCCTTCACGGGCCAGGACCGTGGTGTGGCTCTGAGAAGCAGCCTGGGGCAGTGGGTCCTGGACAACAGGCTGTGGGGGCTCCCCAGGCTTGGACCAAGGAGCAGAGGTGTTCTGGGGAGCGGCAGATTCCCCAGGCTGGTGGTCGCCGTAGGGACTTGGACTTGGAAGTGATGTCACATGGGGGATTTGAGGTCAGACCTTTGCTTTAGGAAGCTAATCCGCATCCTGGGCATGCTGGGGTCACCTGCGAGGGGTCGGAGCTCTAGGGGCTCCGGGGGGGGGGTGCCTGGGCTGGGATGGGCTGCAGCTCAGCACCCCCGGGGGGGTCAGCAGTGCCCACTCAGTGCTGTCTTTCTGGCTCTGCCCGCAGTGTTTTCAGGCCCCCCAGATCCTCTCCATGGGAACAGCTTGTACCAGAAGGTGCGGGCGGCTGCCCAGGTGAGTCTAGGACTCAGGTCAGTCCCAGGACGGCAACGGATGTTTCTTCTTCTCCCACCATCCTGGACCCTGGCTCTGCTCCTGCTGCAGGACCAGATCCCCTGAACCTGGTCCTCAGAACCGTGGGCACAGGGGACAGCAGCCAGACTGCACGACCTGAGCACCCTTCTCCTTGTCTAGGACCTGGGGAGCGCCCTGTTCTCTGACACCTTGTCACCTCTGCCTCCCTCCCAGCTGCCCAGGGCCCTGCCTCCAGCAGGTAGGCAACCGTGTCCGTCCCTTGCACTGAGTCGTCCCTCTGGGGAGGGCTCGGGGTCCCTGCTCCCCACCTGCCGTCCCTGGCCAGCATGCTGCTCTGCGCAGGGCTGGGGATGGGTGGCCATGCTTGCAGCTGACGTGGGCCTTGCCCGCAGGCATGGGCTCGCAGTCCAGACCCCAGAGCGCCCTCCAGGGCTTCGGCTACAGCAAGGAACGGGGCCACATGGGTGAGTGCTATGGGGGCTCTTGGGTGCAGGGGTGAAGGCCTGGCAGCTCGGGCCTCCCGAGGCATGGAGGGCAGTCTGGCCGGACCAATGTGCCCGGCGCCCGCGGTTTTCTCTGCCCAGGTCTGCAGGACAGCAAGGCAGGGCGGGTCTGCTTCACCAGTAAGCGAGAAGTCAGGCTGAGCCTCAGTTGCACGTGTGGGCGCCCAGCCCCTGGCTCCTT